GCATCCTCTCTTCCTGACGGTCCGGACCCGGAGTCTGACTCCCTTTGTGCTGCTAGTCCTACTGTCACGCGCTTTCTGGCCACTGCTGTCACTGACCCTCTGTTTGAGTCCACTGCTGCGTCTGCTCTTGTTACTGAGCTCATTGACTTTGCTGCAGCCTGTCGCCTAGACTACGCCGCTAGTCTTGTTGCTGAGTCTGCGTCTGTCTGTCCTCCGTCCGTCGGGGGTGAGTGTGCTCTTGGCACGGACGTCCTTGAGGACAGACAGGAGGACCTTGAGTGCTTTGCCGCTGCTTCACCTCATCTCGTGTCCATGCTGCTTGCCCCTGAGGGAGACCCGGATGCACTAGACATCTCGACCCCGCGCTCTTACGCAGAGGCGATAGAGGGTCCCTACTCCTCTCAGTGGCAGGCAGCCATGGACGCAGAGATGGCTTCCTGGAAGTCCACAGGCACTTACGTCGACGAGGTTCCCCCACCTGGGGCGAACATCGTCAGTGGCATGTGGATCTTCAGGGTGAAGCGGCCGCCGGGTTCTCCGCCTGCCTTCAAGGCACGTTACGTTGCACGTGGCTTCAGTCAGCGTCAGGGAGTTGACTTCTTTCAGACCTTCTTCCCTACCCCGAAGATGACCACTCTTCGGGTACTGCTGCACGTTGCTGCTCAGCGTGACTACGAGCTCCACTCGCTTGACTTCAGCACAGCTTTCGTACAGGGCAGCCTGCACGAGGAGATCTGGCTGCGCCGCCCACCTGGCTTCACTGGGTCGTTTCCTGCTGGTACCCAGTGGAGCCTCCGGCGGCCAGTCTACGGTCTCCGCCAGGCGAGAGTGGCACGACACGCTCAGGACAACTCTTGCTGCTCTTGGTTTTGCTCCTTCCACTGCTGACCCTTCTCTGTTTCTACGCACTGACGCTACTCTGCCGCCGTTCTACGTTCTAGTGTACGTAGACGACCTCGTCTTTGCTACTGCTGACACGGAGGCACTCGCCCACGTGAAGTCCGAGCTGCAGAAGAGACACACGTGCACAGACCTGGGTGAGCTCACAAGCTGTCTTGGCTTGCGGATCACCCGGGACAGAGCACAGCGCACCATTACCTTGACTCAGTCACACATGGTGCAGCAGGTCCTTCAGCGCTTCAGCTTCACGTACTCCTCGCCACAGTCTACTCCTCTGCCTACCGGTCACTCGCTCTCAGCTCCACCTTCGGACGAGTCCGTAGAGCCGAGTGGCCCGTATCTAGAGCTTGTGGGCTGCCTCATGTACCTGATGACCTGCACACGACCTGACCTCGCATACCCTCTCAGCCTTCTGGCTCGCTACGTGGCTCCCGGCAGGCACCGAAAGGTGCACTGGGATGCTGCAAAGAGGGTGTTGCGATACTTGTGCAGTACATCGGGCATGGGGCTCGTGCTTGGAGGACGGGCTCGAGTTGTCCTCACTGGTCACGCTGACGCCTCCTGGGTTGACGACTTGGCTACGCAGCGGTCGTCACAGGGTTACACCTTCAGTCTTGGCTCCGGCTCTGTCTCTTGGCGGTCTACCCGCTCTTCTTCTGTTCTCAGCTCCAGTTGTGAGGCTGAGATCTACGCTGGAGCCATGGCTGCACAGGAGCTTCGCTGGCTCACCTACCTGCTGACCGACTTGGGAGAGGCGCCTCGTTCTCCTCCAGTTCTGTACGTCGACAACAAGGCCATGCTGGCCTTGTGTCAGGAGCACAGACTGGAGCACAGAACGAAGCACATTGCTCTGCGCTACTTCCTTGCTCGAGAGTTGCAGCAGCGTGGCCAGCTTCGTCTTGCTTACGTGGCCTCTCAGGCCAACACTGCTGATGTTTTCACCAAGGCACTTCAGCCTTGTGATCATCAGCGTTTCTGTACTGTGTTAGGCCTTGTACCTACTGTGCCTCACTTGTTGACTTCTTGACTCTGCTTGTACTGTACTCTATATACTTATACCTGCATGCTTACACTTGCTAGGTTGTGTTCACCGTATTGTTTGTTTTCCTTTATATAACTCTGCATGTGAACTGGCCTTATGGCCCTTTGCTTGTGCTCAGATTGTGTGGTGACTTTGTGATCCACCCTGAGCTTGCTTTGTCTTTCTTGACTGGTCTTGTGACCCTTTGTTCTCCCCCACTTTGCCTATGGGGGTGTGTCAAACTTATATCTACTATAGTCTGTTTAGGCTGTAGTGGGGTAGTTCTTAGAGGGTACAACACTTTTGTGTTTTCTACTTGTACCCATCTCATTTCTAGTTCATTCATTCTTTCGTCAATTCTCTCACAAAACCAAGCGAAATCGAAATCTGACTCGCTATAAAAATATTTTTCGTTTCCGTTTTAAGCAAGAATTTAAACTAGAATTGCACGTGCGCTTATAATAAGTAAAAATTTTCTAGGGGGGGCGCTTATAATCAAGGAACGGCCATAAGCGCCATGCTCCAGATAGAGGCGCCGGCGCCTTTAATCGGATGGCGCCTATATCCGGGGCCATACGGTAAATGCACTGACCCGCTACTTAACAAGCCATTTTATCCCAATGGTCTAGTGGTTGGGATTCTGACACCGCACACCGTTGTAATCGAAGCCCTATCCTCCACACCAGCAGCATGAGGCGAACCAGGGCCCGTGCTAGGTTTGGGGGCATCCTGAGGCCTCAAGGCAAGTTTCCAAAATCTAAAAAAAATGCCCTGATTTGTCAGGGCAAATATTCAAAGGCTTCCTGTGGTTTCAGGGCTTCTGCATAAATTTATCATGACCTGTCAGGGCTAAAAAACGAGTGTTTAGGGTTCTGTTTTTAGCATTTCTAGTGGGACCACCATTGTACTACTCCCTACTAACCAGTGCATGCATGGCACACGACGAGACAGGAGTGTTGCCTTGCCCAACCCGTTTTCCCAATCTGATGGGTTTGGCTGGTGCGTTGCGGAGGATCGGAACTGTCAAAGGAATCATGCGAATGCAGGAAAAATACACGGGGAAACCAATCCGCGGGAGAAAATCTCCCAGGAAAAAAAATCCTCGGGAACGGGAAACCTCCCCCCCTCGCCAATACCCCCCCCCCCCCCCCCCCCCCCCCCCCCCCCCCTCACGTCCCTCAAGAAACGCGTCAGAGCAAGCCGCGACATTCATCCTGACGCTACAAGGAAGAACACCACAGCCATCATGAAATTCCATGGCATTTCATATAACATCCTGATACCACAGGGTGAAAATTGAGACTATTCTGAAATTACAGGGAAAATTCAAATTTGCATCCTGAAATCAGGGTGATCAGGATGTTTTGCTCTGATATCGTGGGGCCTGAGGCGAACACCCAGGCAATGCCACCAGAGCATAGGGTTCTGTTTGTTTTTTACGAGCCTGGCGCTTCTTTTTGCAGCAGAGGACTTGAAATACAGTACCATATTAGGACCTTCCCTCTGCATTTGTCCAGAGTCAAGCAATTTCCTTGCTTTCTTGATTTTCCAAATTTCTGTCCTCGGCCACCTAGTGGCCAGCGCCTTGCCGACTCACCACCAATCCCGAAATTCGTGTGAGCGTACAGTGGGCGAGAAGCTTCTCCAGTTCAAATGGACGAATTTAGTCAAGCCAGTCTACTTTCACCACCCCTGATAACAAGCCGCCGCAAAGCAGCGATTGATTCACTTAGTGCAGCGCTGCGCTCATCGGGCGAGCTTTTCCGAGTAATAGCATTCACACTCCATTATCGCTCCTTCCAATGCTCAGTGTACGCGTCGTCGAGACCGTCGCATAGGACGCGCTCACCGCGGCCATTCGCGACGGCGAATCCCCTCCCCCTCATTCTTGTTATCGGTGAGCTCTCCCAGTCCTGATCGCGGCGAGTCGGGGTTCTGATCGCTGAGCTCCACTGATTTAAGCGGGGCTGATTTGAGAAGCCAGGTCAAGTCGACGCCATCTTGAACTGGTTTCACATGCCTTTGAACATGTTAAGAGTTCCGGTGAAGGGGCTCTTTTAGAAACTCCGAGTCGGCAATTCTTTCCCCATGCCCAACTGCCAGTTTAGGGTTCCGGTGCCGCGTGAGGCTATAAATCCATGGTAGCATTCTCCCAGCTGTTGTAGATGCTTCTCCTCTACTTTGCAAGAACTGTGAATTGTACTAATCAGTAGAGCACTGTCTTTGCTTTCCAACGGGCCGTAGATCACATCGATTGCCTAAGCATCGAGCGAGATATGGCTACTAACGTGAAAGCTATGCTCTATGTTGAAGGATTGGAAACTCTCTGGAATTTGTGTGTCGAGTTGCACTGTGTACAAAGTGATTCACGTTTTCCAGTATGATTCATGCAAACAAGGCAAACACATTTATAGCTACTCAATACATCGAGTCGCGCATGTAACATCTAGTCACTACGAGATGCATCGCGAACATTCGTGTAACAATTTGAAGGGGTGAAATTCGGCACCCGAATTTCACCTAACCAAATTCTTCTTCAGTCTCGATTCTTCTTGTGTTGCCATGTGGCACCAATTGAGTGGGTATTCTGAAGTCAACCCACACACCTCGAAACCTGCAGCTCACGCAACTCGTGAGCACCATTCGGTGGGTTGGGGGCATTCAACCGTCCCACCACACGCAACTCGTGAGCACCATTCGGTGGGTTGGGGGCATTCAACCGTCCCACCACCGTTTCCTGTGAACACACGCGACCTCCAACACCAGCCGCCGTGGTAGTATCACCGCTGACGACTTGCTCCTCCTCTTCCTTCCCATTCCCCCCCTCCCCCTTCCCCCTCTTCCGCCAATCCCCCCCCCCCCCCCCAACCCCCCTCCACCCACTTTTTCCCCGCAGCGCTCTCTCGCGGGCTCGACTTCTATCTCGTGCGACTTCCGCCGCCCCTCCTCCCGTCGGCTCGCCGGGGAGCGGCAATTCTAGTGCGATCCACCCCCCCCCCCCCCCCCCCCCCCCCCTCTCCCCCCCACCCTCGCGCCGCTCGTGCTCTCCCCACCCTCGCGCCGCTCTCCCGAATATCGTATGCACCCCCACTTTTCTCGAATTCGCACTCTCACGTTCCCCGCTTTTCCCCTCATCCCCCTCGTCTCCCTCGTCACTCTCTCTTCCCCTCCTCCCGTTCTCCCCCCTCCTCCCCCTCCCCTTCCTCATCCCGTCGTCGACCAGACACATATGTTTTCGCGGAGATGGTGGATGGCGACTCACGCGCAGTCATCTACCTGTGCCTCTCGTAAGCACCTATGCCTCAAAATTGGTCAGGACCTTCTAGCATTATCCAATGTACCTGTTTCTTTCTGCCACCACTTCCTTTTTCCCCATTCCCCCTCGTCTTAACCCTCTCTCCCCGCATCACCCATGTCCATCCCCCACCCTCACTTCCCACCCTCTCCCCCCCCCCCCCAACCTCCACCCCCATCCACATTCAGCTTCGATTCCACCACCAACACCATCCAAGCGACCTACAAGATCTTCGCAGCTCTCCCCTTCCTTTATCCCCATCCCCCCTCTTCTTAACCCCCTCTCCCCCCATCTTCCCCAATTTCCATCCCCCACCCCTTCCTTCCCCACCCACCCACATCCAGCTTCGATTCTGCCACCGCCACTATCCTGAAGGAAACCGTCTTCTCTTAGTGACGCCACAGATTTTACTTGGCGAGTTAGGAGCCAAGACTAGGATCGTTCCGACGGGCTCGGAGCAAGGAATCCATGGCACTTTGAATCTCTGTAATCGCCTGAGAATTGAAAGAGATACTTCTTATAATGCAAGGATGGGTACAAGTGACGAGTTGAGGTTAACTCTCTGGAATTTGCTCTCTGGTTTTATAGTTAAAACATGCAAGCACAATTGTAACATCGAACCGCGCGCGACTCACCGGAAATTCAGACTCAGGATCGCGTCCAATTTCCGCGACGTCCGCGTTCACAATTTCGGACTTTGCCGGGTTCGTTTCTTCACGCTGACAATCGTGAGTTACAAGGGACAATAGCGAGTGTAGCGAAATGTTTGTAACATTCGCTTGCACTCTTGCTATTTTCGTGCATGCTTGTGGGGCTGCCAAGTGTTGACGCGGGCAATCCTCCGTCACCCCTCATTCCGAGGAAAGAACCCTCCCTTGGTCCGAGTCAAGGGAGGTCTTCGCGTGGGGGGAAATCTCTCCCCCACAATTCCAACATATCCAAGCGACCTACAAGATCTTCGCAGCTCTCCCCACCGGCCCGCCCGCCTACGTCACCCTAGTAAACACAACCGTCCCCGAATGCGACCCATCCACGTGTAGCCTGCCCCCAGCCGCCCCCGCGTGGGTCCAGCCCGTGCCGTCCGTGTGGCAGGCCGTTGGCACCTTCACCAGCACCCCTGCCACCAGCCCCGAGCGCCATGTTGCGCTGCTACAGCTGATTGATAACTCGTCGGCGTTACCCGGAGTGGTCATGGCGTGTGGGACTAACAAGCACGCGGTGGGGCAGTTTCAAGTTGACGCGAATGTGAAATTCCGTGAGTGTGGGGAAGGACGGGAGGGAGAGGTTGTAGTGGTGGTGGTGGGGGGGGGGATAGAGTGAAAGTGGGGATTCTTGTTGTCCTGCACGCTTCACCAGCACCCCTGCCACCAACCCCGAGCGCTATGCGGCTCTGCTGCAGCTGACTGATAGCTCGTCAGTGTTCCATGGGGTGGTCATGGCGTATGGGACTAGCATGCAGGTGGCTGTGCGGACGGCAGTGGTAGGGTGAATGTGGGAGGGAGGCTGTCATTAGGACGTTCTGTGTAGTAGTGGAGGTTTGTCTTGCAAAGGAGTGTAGCAGTACCAGACTTCCTCTCTCTTCCTAATGCTAATGTCTCACTTTTCTTCTCTCTCCTCAAAACCATTGTCCTTGCATGCACCTGCCTGTAGTGGAGGTCGGGCCGGTTCCACTGACTGTTCCCAACCCCAACTACGCGGTTCGCTTCCGCTCCTACATGCCTGGCGGCGCCAACCTCACCTTCACCCAGTCGTGAGTCTCTCCCCCTCCCTCCCAGGCATCTGACTCACCTTTGCTCTCTTCTCATGATCTTTGTTAAAGGACACGCATCCGCGCTGCGACGAATTCCCAGGGCACATAGTTCTCGCTCACTCCCCTCCGTCCCTCCCCTTTGATGAATTCCTCTTTTTTTTTTCGGTGTGGCAGAGCCGACGAGCTGTCGTTTCGAGTGGACGTCCCATGCGTAATGCTGCTGCCCACCGATGAGCCCTTCACCACTGCACCTCCGGATCCCCCTTGCCTCGAAGCCTTCTGTCTCTTTCCGTGTCTCCATGTAACAGGGCCGATGGGCTGTCGTTCCGAGTGGATGTCGTATTCGTCGTCGTGGTGCCCACCGATGAGCCCTTCACCACTGGCCTCCGAGTTTACTTGCAAGATATTGTCCCGGCCCCACCTTCCTCTGACCCAGAGCACCCTGGCGTATCTTGCGAGAACAAGGAGAAGGAGGAGGAAAAAGAGAAGGAGAGCAACAAGGATAAGGGGAAGTTGACAGGGAAATACAAGGAAAAGTGCAAGAAGGGGAAGAAGGGTAATGGGTGCTGCGATGAACTGACTGTTACCATCTCGGAGGCGTATGTATCGATCATTAGCAGGAACGGTACGTGTGACTACACATGCCCGTCCGTGTTTGTGGTGTGCGGTACGAACGAGTGGAACTATAGCGGGTTCACGCCCGAAGTGCGGGCAACAATCGGCGAGTTCAACGCGCTGACGGCGCTCATGCAGTATGCGGTTATTGGCGTGAAGGGGCGGCTGGTGAATGCGACCATGAGAATTGTCTCCATTGACATGCCGAATGGGCCTGTTGACCTCCTTGAACGGCTTTGAGCAAGAATGGATAGAGTATTGAAATGTTAATTCTGGGATGGAGGGTGCAGATGACGTACCAGCCTTGGTTCCTTTGTTGTGTTCAGGTGGGCATGCCTTCCGGTTCATGTTGGCATGCCTTCCGGTTCATGTGGGCATGCCTTCCGTATGTAACGTGATGTATTATATATGCAAAGCTGCATCATTTTGTGTTCTGCTTGCAAATATAGCCAGTCGCATTATATGGGGATATGTACAATATATTAGCACCACTGCCTAGTTGGCTGTATTATCGGAAAGAAGGATTTATTATGAACTGTGCAAGATTATATGCTGTGGGTCAAGTCGTTAAAACATGCTGTCCCCTTTTGCGCGCTGAACGAACGACTTGCAGCAGACCCGTGAAGGGTAGCGAAGGGTAGTCACCCATTGCTTTTCCTTCTGAAAAATATGCCGACATAAGCTTTCGCTGACTGGCTCAGCTCACCTGACGGTTATCATACGTTACTGCAATTCGTTGGGAAGGAAGCAATTTTTTTTGGTCGACACGACCGTTACACATTCAACTTCGGTTTGACATGGCAGAATGGATTCGACTGTATTGAGATTCGGCTGTGGTCAGATTTGTCACGTGATGAATCCTCGATGTGTCAAGTTGCGGCTTTAGTGCACTGTTACTCATCACCCCCCCTCGAGGCTCACGTGACGCTAACGACAGTGCGGGACGCGGCTTATTCTCTGGAGATATATATATTTTTCGGGCTGAGCAATATTTTCACTCCACACGTGAGCTCTTATGTTTGTATGTACGTTCAGGGATAGCTATCGTCTCAACATTTCCGAGGCTTGTGAACTGGTGATTTTCTTGTTTGGGCTAAGTTCCACCACTAAATGTGGAGTCGGGACTTGGGCCTCCTCCTTGGGGAAGATGCTGTTGAGCCAGAGATTTGAGAGCTGTTTGCTAATTAAAGCGAATCATCAGATATCTGTCCCGACCAACATCGTGAAAGGTCATCCTCATATCTGCACAGTGAATCCGTCGCTAGCGACAGCTCGTGCCGTACCATGTGGTGGGCGTGGATGTTCCACGCCAGAGCAAGACTGGTGTCCCATACAGTTTCAGTGTCGAAAAACTCGTCACTCATGCCCGTCCGATAAATCCCAAGCAGCCCAGCTGCTCCATCCCAACCGTTGATACTACCACCACCGCCCATTTCTTGCGTTGGTGTTTCCCACCAATCCATCCGCCCACTGGCTCTGTGGCATCTCTGCCTGTTCCCGTTTCTGCTGGGTCCTCTTCTCACAGGCACGCGTTTCTGTGGTTGTGGTGCGGCCGCAGGAAGGTGAGGGGCGAGCAGCGCATCACCGCGTGACTCCTTCCCTACCCTGGTTTTGGCTCTGGTGCTTCTGTGGTGTCCCCTGTGTCGGTTGGTGGCGGAATTGGAGGCAAAAAAGCTGGTAGAGTTTGTTGAAAGCTGGCGGTTTTCACTGTCTCCAGTGTTACTTGAAGCTCACAAGCGATCATGTCGTTAGGTGTGCTCTGATTTCTGTAATGCATTGACCTCTCTTGGACAAATGACGGTTCGGCTTTCCAACTTCGGTCTGGATCTTCTTGAGCATTAGTAGTCACCAGGCGTAACTAGCACGCCATTCCGCTTTGTTGGTTAGTTCGTGCCAGAAGCCATTTCCTGAATTTCCGGGCGTACATCTGTCCGTGTATTCATTTACCTCACCACCCGTGCACTAGCAAACTTAGCGAGCCGCCAATGGCGGAGATGGATCCGGAAGTGGTGAAGGGGCCTTGGAGTCCAGAAGAAGACGACAAGCTTAGAGAGTTAATCTCCAAGTACGGACCGCGTAATTGGTCACTGATAGCCCAAGGACTCAAGGGGCGGTCCGGCAAGAGCTGTCGCTTGCGATGGTGCAACCAACTGAATCCCGAAGTAAGTTCAACGAGATTCCCGCTAACTAGTGTCGGCCGGAAATCCGAACACCAAGAATGGTACCAATGTCGAATGTCTATCACGGTATCGAATACCCTTAGGATCTCAGAGGTCATGCGTGCGTCTAGTGTTGCCGTCTTTTCTCGCCAGTCGTCCCTATTCCTCCAGCTAGATCCTACGTTTGGCAAGACAACGTTTGTATACAGGACTACCAATGAGTATGAGAACAAGGTTCGAGGGATAAAGGGGGTAGAGGAGAATGAGGTCGGAGCGGTGTCATGTCGGTGCGAAAGGACGGCGGAGACGGAGAGACAGGCTGGGTGGACCGCTGTGCAAACCCACACCTCATTCTGTTTGCATTTTCGTTTCAAGTGATAGTTCAGTAGCGCCGTCCCTTCAAATTCGTCAACGCTCTTCTGTTCACCAACCGCTGTCGTGGGTGTGGTAGCAAGCAATAGACTAGCTGGCTGTTGAGAATTGTCCAAAATAAACGCGAGGGATGGATAGAGCTGGGTGGGTGTTGATCCGCCCTTCCTCATCGCGCTTCGTCGCTCTTGTGCCGGCTGTCGGATGCCTGACACGTGGCAGGTGAACAAGGATCCGTTCACGGAGGAGGAGGATCGCATCATCGTGATGGGGCACGCGGAGCACGGCAGCAAGTGGTCCATCATCGCCAAGAGCCTTCCCGGTCGCACCGACAACGCAATTAAGGTACGGCGCTATTGTCAGTCTGCTTCACAGCATATAGCTGGCTTGTAGCTGGCACGCGGAGCACGGCAGCAAGTGGTCCATCATCGCTAAGAGCCTCCCCGACAACGCCATCAAGGTACGTCTATTGTCGGCACCACAGCGGCTAGTCCCCTCCTACATACCACGCAAACACTTTTTTATTTTATTTTATTTTCTTCTCTTTTATTTTTCCGGCCTGTTGCGTGAATGGTTCAACTGACGTGTTTTTCTTCCCGCTTTCTCTTCGCGGTGAATGGCAGAACCACTGGAACTCCACGCTCAAGCGCAAGTACCCGGCCATTCTCGCCGACATCATCAGCCGACGCGTAAGTATTACTCCATTTCTCCTCCTCCGTAGACACACTTTGTCGACTAATTAATTCAAACCATGCGCTGTTCCGACATCATCAGCCGACGCGTTAGAACTACTCCATTTTCCCTCCCCCCTTCCCACTCCGCTTCGCCCCCCTTCTCCTCCTCCCCCCTCTCCTTCCCACGCGTTCTCCGTCCCTCCCACTCCGTCTTCCTCCTGCCACCTGTTAACCCCCCTTTCCCTCTTCCCGTTCCCCGTTCCCCCTCCCCACCCTTCCGCGCGCGCAGACCTCCCGCCTGCTGGACTCTCCGCGCGACAGTATCAGCGGAAACAGCAGCGCGGGTCCCGCGTCTCCCGCGTATGCCGCCATGTACCGCTCCGCGTTCCCCGACAGCCCCACATTCTCGCCCGGCAGCGGCGCAGGCACACCCGGGAGCGGACGATACGACTCCAGCCGAGTAGAACACGTGAGTAACCCGCCGCATTTCGCACGACCTTGTCGCAGCTAGCGCAAGTGTCCCAAGTAAAACCTGTTGTAAAGAATTTCCAGTGAAAACCTGTACTGCAGGGCTTGCCTTTCTTGCCTTTCCCGTCCAAGCACCTTTCGTAAAATGTTTCCCCGTCCCTCCCCTTCTCTGTCCCCTTCCGGAACTCCTCCCCCGCTCCGCCCGTTGCGCAGATCCGCGCGCTTACCGATGTGCTCCGCCGCCTCGCCACCACCTCTGCCGCCGCATCCACCTGCTCTTCCCCCAGCGGAATGCACTCCGGCGTGCCCTCCCCCCATCCGCTCTCGCAGCCCTTCTCCCCCCACGGCCTCTCCTCCAGCAGCGGCGCGCCTTCCCCCGGCTCCGCGCAACCGTTCCCCTTTTCCATGGGCGCGGGCGCAGGCGCAGGCGGAGGTTTCGGTTCCGCTATGACGGGTATCGGCGGAAGCGGAAACGGAGGGGATGACCTGCTCGACTTGCGCCAGCAAACCGCCAAGCGCCTCCGCCTGGCCGCTGCGTATTCCGGGATTCCGTTCTCCGAACTCCCCTCCCCGCAAGAGGTTCTCGCGTTCCCCAAAAGCGCGAGCCTGGGGGAGCCCTCCGCGCCCACTCCGCCCATAGTTTCCCCCCTCTTCCCGCGCTTCCTCTCCTCCGCCGGCCCTGCCGGCGCAGGGGGGAGCGGCGCAGGTTTCGGCGGAGATAACGCGCTGGCGGCGCTTGCAGCAGCAGGGGGAGCGGCAGGGGGAATGGGCATGGGTGGCGGCGCAGGACCAGGCGGGTTTGGGGGAATGGGCGCGGGGGTGGGGTCTTCCCCCCTCGGCTCCCCTAACACCATGTTCCGCGCAGGTCTCGGTGGGGGAATGGGCGGAGGGCTGGGGGGAAGCGGCGCAACTGCTAAAACGCCACCTTTCTCCGCCTTTCACCACCGCTCTCTCCTCCGCTCCTCGTCCTCCCCCGTAGAACGCGCTCCCCTCACCGGCCTCTTCCCCTCTGGCCTCGGAACCCCAAACCTAGGGGGTTCTACCCTCGGATTATCAGTCTTGGGGGGAGGGGGCGGGACAGGGGGAGGCATGGATGGTGGTGGTGGTGTTGGCAGCAGCAGGTCGAAAGGGCCGTCGATTCTGGGTCGGCGAAATCTGACCATTGATTTGTCGGTGCTGGAGCAGCAGCAGCCGCCGTCGGCGAACGCCACACCTCAAGGATCGCTCGGCGTGCCTGGCGGCGCCGCCGCCGCCACTGCCGCTGCCGCCGCTTCCGGCGCTGCTGCTCCCAGTTCTGCTGCTGCTGGTGACTGCTCCGCGGGCTCCTCTGACGGTGGTGGTGCTGTTGCTGCTGGTGGCGGTATTGCTGGTCCTGTGGGAATGGACGAAGGTGCTCATCTGTCCTTGAGTCAGCAGATTCACAACCAGGTGTCGCTCTTTGATGCCGCTACCCTCCAGCAGCAGCAGGCGCAGCAGCAGGCGCAGTTCGCAGGGCTGGAGTCGACTCAGAAGCGGTCGAGATTCGCCATGGCAGCAGGAGCAGGAGCGGGAGCAGCAGGAGCAGCGCGGGGCTTGGTGGGGGACACGGAGAGCGCGTCTATGTCCAGTGGCGGACTCGCGGAGCGACCAGGATCTCGCATGGAAGAGGACAGCGCGGAGTACCAGCAGCAGCAGCAGTGGCAGCAGTGGCAGCAGCGGCAGGAGCAGGCAGAGCGGCAGGAGCGTCAGGAGGAAGGAGAGGAAGAGAAGGTGGTGGGAGGGCAGGAGGTGATGCAAGACGAGCAGGGAGAGTCGCAGGAAGGGCTGCAGGCGCTGCTGGCGGCGCAGCAGAGCGCTGCAGGGGGGAGCCAGCTGCATGCTCTGCGGCAGCTGCTCCAGCAGCAGCTGCTGCAGCAGCAGGGGATGCAGCTGAGACAGCAGTCGTTTCAGCAGCAGCAACAGCAGCAGTTCCTGCAGCAGCTGCAGGAGCAGCAGTTTCAGCAGCAGCAGCAACAGGAGGTGCTGTTTCAGCAGCAGCAGAAAGAGTTTCAGCAGCAGCAGCAGCAGTTGCAATTTCAGCGGCAGCAGCAGGAGCAGGAGCAGCAGGAGAATGCTGTTCCTGGTGGGGGAGGAGGAGGGGGGGGAGGAGTGCAGCAGCTGAATGAGCTGACAGCAGCAGGAGGCTCATCATCCCTGCTTAGCTTCCTGGCCTCTGATTGGCTGCAGCTGAAGGAAGCTGTATCCACAGGGGCTCGGGCCTTCAATGTTTCAAATGTTCCGCCCACGAGTGAATGAAGTGAATGCGTGAGTTGTGCGGAGAGAGCGTGAAGCATGGAGACATAGTGGATGTCGTGTTCTTTTGCATGCTGAAAGACTTGTAATTTAGAGTACCGGTATGGCATATTTTGACGAGGGGAACTGACGGTGAGACGGTGATTGGGCTCGATGGAAATTGTCGGTTGCATGGACTGCCCTTGGTCGCCCCAGGACCCAGGTTGACTATTACTATGATATCTCCCCCTATCTATAGCCACAGGTTAGATTACCTTATTCCAATAGCTGATTAATTTCTGGGATGCATTGTACATACAGATCTCTTTGGCTCCCCCATGAGGTAGACCCTGGGCGCCCCTTTGTAAAATACATTTTATATCTTGTTTTAGTTTTCATTAGGATGCGGGTCATTATAACTTTGTTGGTCTTGAAGTTGGAAACTAGCAAAACTTCTAACGTACAGACCGTACAGATGAACCACAACAAACGGTTCTCGTACTGTTGCGAGGATACCACGCCAACATCTCCATCGTGAATTCTTGTCTGCTGCCACATGGCAACCAGTCCATACTTTACAATCCCATGCCTCATCCCGCCGAGGAACATCCATCCGTCCATTTCCTCCTTTTCGGGTCACCTCACACGATCGCACCCGCCCGCCAGCGCGGCCGACAGACCCCACCCAATCCAACCCCGAAACCTTCAGGCCAAGCACCTTGCGTGTCCTTCGAGGCCGAAGCAGGATCATGTGGCAGCGACGGAAAAGTCACCACCATCATGACTCGTTTCTTTTCACCAGTTGCCCGAAACTTCAGTCCTGCTGATTTGTTTTCTCGATGCTGCTCTTGTATGGCTCTCGACCAATAGAAGAAGTTGAAATAAGGGTTACCCTAATTCTGCTTCTGAGGTTATCCCTTTTCGTTGCTTGGATCACCCATGACAGCCATGGCATGACTTGGCTCAGCTCTTCCTTTCTCCCTCTCTCCTGCTTTTTCCCTTCCTGCAAGTGCTTTCCGCCATGGTTCTTTCATTCCAATAGGCATCCATATATTCTCGTGCCAGTTCATTCGCTCCAACTTTCTAAACTAGTCTCGATTTTTCAATTTGTTGATCTTATCTGCGTTTGACCCTGCGTCCATCACAGTTAGCTGAAACTTGAACCGTAGTCCGCATTTGCCTTCGCTGGACCCCTCACGAGCAGATTTTACGGAAATGCGCTCGTGGTAGCTTCTTCTCTTGCCTGGTCTCGGCAGTAGCATTTCCATGGCTCCGCGAAAAGGCAAGAAGGGACGATCTGGCAAGGCCGGCAACAACCACGGCAACTCTAGCAGCAACAACTCCAACAGCAGCAAGCAGCAAGTAAAAAGCGGGTCTAGCACGTCAGATCCGCAGTTACCCGTGGAAACGCCTCAGCTGCAAAATTTGGCCGGGGGGAAGGTCCAGGTGCAAGAAACGCCGCAGGTGTATGCTCATGGTCCATCTCTCGCGAAGGGTTCAAGTAAGAAGGCCGTTGAGGCTGTACGATCCGGCGACAACTGCTCGTCGCACGGATCATCGCCAGGCCAGTTAAGGCCTGCAAACCAGTCAGGGCTTTCAAACCAGTCAGGAATTTCCACGCAATCAGGGCTTTCAGCTCAGTCAGGCTTTTCAAGCCAGTCAGCCTCGTTAGGCCAATTAGGTAACCAATCAGGGCCTTCGGGCCCTGCAGGCACTTATTCCAGCCCGTCGAAGAACCATGGCGTTAAGAATAATCCCGTCGTTCCTGGTGTAGCACCAGCAGTAGCGGATCGCGTCTCCGTTACAGGAATTGCGCATGAAGCCTCGTTAGTAGCAGCGGCCGTGGAGGATGCGGAACGGGCTAGAGCGGAGGATGCGGAAAGGGCCAGAGCGGAGGATGCGGAGAGAGCAAGTCATCGCAACAAGCGCAAGTTCCGCCTGGATGCGCCTTCCGCGCAGGGAAGCCCGCCGGCCGCTGCGCCGTTAGCGTGTCCGCCGGTGGCGGAGACGGACGGCGGTCATGCGCGTCAGGATGTAACGCAGCTCGGATTGCAGGTGAAATGTCAGGTGGGATCGCAGGTGGGAGCGCGAAGCGGTCAGGGGTTAGCGGGGTCGGGGGAGAGTGACTTGCTTCAACAGCAGCAGCTGAGGCTTGCGACGAGTACTCAACAGCAGTCGCAGTCGCAGTCGCAGCAGAAGGCGCAGCAGCAGTCGCAGGCGCAAGGCTCGGCTGCTGCGCGCATGGCGCAGATGCAGATGACTTTCCGCGAGACCGCGGAAGCAGGGGCGTACGGTGCAGGGGGAGCGTCGGGTAACCGGGTTACCTTGCGGGGGGATGGTCTCCGCCGTTGGGGGTCGCAGGGGGAAGAAGGTCTGCGCGGATTTGAAGATGAGGGGGGTTTGGTGTCTTGTACCGAAGATGCTTGTGACGGGTCGTGCGTGGGTGGGATTACCCACGTGGAGGATGAGTATTATGATGAGGACGGGGATTATGATGACGGTGATGACGTGGACACAGTGGATGCGCAGGAGGATTATGACGAGGACGATGACGTGGATATAGCGGATGATGACATGGAGAGCGAGTTTGATGACGCGGATGACGTGGGAGAGGAGAGCGATCTGTCGCATGTTGATCCGCGTTATGAGCATCACCAGTCCCAGCAGGTGCAGCAGCAACGGGAGCATCAGCAGCAGCAGCATTATCAGCAGCAGCAACAGCAACAGCAGCAGCAGTACCACCAGCAGCAGCAGTACCAGCAGCAGTATCAGCAGCAGCAGTATCAGCAGCAGCAGCAGCAACTGCAGCAGCAACAAAGTGTGCAGCAGCAGAGCTATTATGACCCGCAAAACGCATCTGCTGTCTCTGCTGTTGCACAGGATGCTGCTGCTACTGCACAAGCTGCCGGTTCAGACTCTCCTGAAAATTACATTTGGGATGATGCAACTGAATTCCGCTTAGAAGAGCTTCTCTTAGAGAAGCTCGATTCGCTCCATAGCGAAGCGGTGGTCAAGGTCGCTAGCTTCGGCTACACCGAAGAAGCGGCTCGGCAGGCCGTCGACAGGTTCGGCAGCTGCTTCGGCGAAAAGGACGCCCTGACCAACATCGTCTCCAATGCTCTCCTTTTCGGCAGAGGCCCGGAAATCGCAGCCATGGCTGCAGGCAGGTCCGGGAAAGGCTCGGGGAGCAGAACCCACACCTCCAGCTTCGGCACCGGCAGCAGCTTCGGAACGCGCCATGCCTTGGGGTCAGGCTCGGGGCAGGGCACGGGGGGGAGCCCGAGCCTGGGGTTTTCGACTCGGAGGGAGCTGCAGCAGGATGGGGTGTCTCGTATGCTGTGCGCGCTGCAGGCTGTGTGGGGCCCGCAGATGAGCCGCGGGGATGCCATGTGGTGCCTTCTCATGAGTGATTTAGACCTTAGAAAGGCGTGCGAGTTGGATCTGCAGCCGCCCCCGCGCATGGCTTCCACTCCGTCTGCTGCTGCCACTGCTGCTTCCGATGCTGCTCCCGCTCCCGCTGCTGCTGCTCCGGCTGCTGCCGCTCCTGCTCTTTCTGCTGCTGCTGCGGCTGCGCCTGGCAGTGCGGGCGGGGGAAGGGGCGCAGGGGCAGTTGGACAAGGGGTGGGAGGAGCAAAAGAAGGAGGGATTGCTGGTGGTGGTGCTGGCGGTGGTGCTGCTGGCAGTGCTGGTGGTGGTGTAGCCACACCAGCATCAACAGCAGCAGGAGGAGGAGGTAGTGGAACAGTAGCAGCAGTGCCAGCAGCTGCAGGAGGAGGAGGACTAGTAGCAGCAGCGGCAGCAGGGCCAGCGGCAGGTGCATCGGCGGGTGAAGCGGCGCACATGCCGTTTGCACCACTGAGCGCACCATCGAAGCCTGCTTCGTCATCTCGTGGCAAGCAGCTGCTGCGTGCCTCCCTGCACTCACAACCGCCGCCTTCCAACGCTGCAGGCGGGGCAGTAGCAGCAGCTGTAGTTCCTGCTGCTGCTCCTCCTGCTGCTGCTTCCTGTTCCTCTGCTGCCCCTGTGCGCACTGCTGCTCCAGCTTCCAGTGCTTCTGCTGCTTCTATCGCTGCTGCTACCGCTGCTGCTACCGCTGCCTCTGCATGCACTGCTGCTGCCACTCCACCCAATGCACCTGCTGCAGCTGCAATCAATGCTTCTGCGACGGGTGTGCCAGTGACAGGTGCATCTGGTACAGGCTCACCTGCAACAGGTGGGTCTGGTGCTGGCGCACCCACGACAGGTGCATCTGGTGCAGGTGCATCTGGTGCAGGTGCATCTGGTGCAGGTACATCTACGACAAGTGCTCCTGGAGCAGGAGCAGCAATGGCAGGCGCAGATGGAGGCAAGGAGGCGGGGAAAGGAGGAGGGAAGCGGAAAGGAGCCAAGAAGAGCAAAGGAGGAAAGGGCGGAGGGGCAGGAGCAGGAGGGGGAGGAGGAGGAGGAACAGGAGGAGGAGGAGGAACAGGAGGAGGAGGAGGAACAGGAGGAGGAGGAGGAACAGGAGGAGGAGGAGGAGCAGGAGCAGGGGGGGCAGGAGGGGCAGTTGCAGGAGGAGGAGCAGCAGTTGGGGATGCAGGAAGCAGCAGCACTTCAAGCAGTGCTAGCAGTGGCGCTGCTGCAAAGCCGTTTGACGAGGAGCATGAGCGGTGGGTGCTGCGCCAGTCAGAGGCGTTCCGGCGGCTGCACGAGCAGCAGCAGCAGTACCAGGCGACGCTGGAGCAGATGCAGCAGTACGTGCAGGGCAACCCCGAGGACCTGCAGCTGCTGCAGCAGATGAAGATGCTGCCGTCCCTGCTCGCGCAGTCGCAGCACGACACGCAGCAGCTGCTGCAGCGGCAAACCAGGCACGTGCTGGGGCAGCAGGGGGCGCAGCAGGGGGGGCAGGGGCAGAGGGACGGTGGGCAGAAGCAGCAGCCGCTGCAGGCGCTGCAGCAGCAGCAGCCGCAGCAGCAGCCGTTTTGGCAGCAGCAGCCATTGCAGCTGCCGCTACAGCAGCAGCTGCTCCAGCAGTCGCTGTCACAACAGTCCCAGTCGCAGCAGTCACAGTCCCAGTCCCAGTCGCAGGCACAGGCACAGCAATCGCAGTCGCAGCAGTCGCAGGCACAGCAATCGAGCACTCAGAACCCCCAGCGCATCTCAGACGAGGAGCTTCAGAAGCACTTAGCCGAAATCATGCAGCAGAAACGAGCCATGGAGCAGCACATGAACCCGCACCAGTTGCACCTGCTCGAGTCCCTCAATTCCCTCCACTCCTCCACCACGCCCGAGCAGCAGCCGCAGCAGCTGCAGCAGCGGATTGAGCAGTACCACGTGCAGCAGCAGCAGTCGCTGCAGCAGCAGCTGCTGCTCCAGCAGCAGCAGCACCAGCAGCAGCAGAGTCTCGCGCACGCGTCGTCGCGGCGGCGCCGGCGCCGGCAGCAGGTGCAGCAGCAGCAGGCACAGCGGGAGCAGCAGTTGCAGATGGGGAAGGAGCAGGCGGAGAAGGAGACGCAGCAGCATGTGAAGAGTCAGTTGGACCGGGCGATGGTGGTGCTGCAGCAGCAGCAGGAGCAGCTGCACTTTGTGCTCCAGCAGATGCTCATTCGCCACCAGGAGGCTGCCGCTGCTGCTGATTCTGCTGCTGCTGATTCTGCTGCTGCGGGCAAGGGTGCTGCTGATGGCGCTGGGAGCATGGCTGATGGGGATGCAGGGAAAGGCGGTGCTGATGGTGCCCAAGGAAAGGATGACACTGCGACCACTACTGGCGGAGCAGCAGGAAGCGCTGCTGCTGTTGTTGCTGGCGGTGCAGCAGGGACCAGTGGTGCAGGGGCTGCTGCAGCAACAGGTGGGGGAGATGGGAAACCGAGCACACAGACAGCAGCCGTAGGAGCAGCCCCAGCAGCATCTGGGCCACCAGCAGAGGCTGTAGCAGCGGATCTAAAAACGGGCCTGCCCATGCCACCAGGTGCCTCCTCGTCCTCCTCCTCCTCCTCCTCCTCCTCCTCCTCCTCCTCCTCCTCCTCCTCCTCCTCCTCCTCCTCCTCCTCCTCCTCCTCCTCCTCCTCCTCCTCCTCCTCCTCCTCCTCCTCCTCCTCCTCCTCCTCTGCTCCCTCTCCCCTCACTTCCTCCACTACCACTGCTGCTTCTGTCACCACCACCGCCGCCATTGCTACTGCGAGTGCTGCATCTCCTTCCTCCACCTCTCCTCCCGCACTTGCCTCCTCTCATCCCTCCACCTCCGCCCCTAAGGACAATAACCTCTCACAAGCACCACTCACAGACCAGCACACACCTGCCGCGCTCCAGTCCGAATCGAAAACCCATCCCAACACCTCAGCACCTATGCAGGCCGCTCTGGAGGATGGCACCTCAGCGCCAGCAGCGTGCGCTGCTGTAGAGGCGAGCAGCTTAAAGAGTTCAGCAGCATCACGAGAGGCAGGCACGTTGGCAACAGGAGCAGAGGGCGCTCTGGAGGATGGCACCTCAGCGCCAGCAGCGTGCGCTGCTGTAGAGGCGAGCAGCTTAAAGGGTTCAGCAGCATCACGAGAGGCAGGCACGTTGGCAACAGGAGCAGAGGGCGCTCTGGAGAACCCACTGCCAGGCCGAGAAACGGATTCGGAGGAGTCAGAGCCTTTCAAGGAGCCAGTAAAGGAGTTTTTGGAGAAGCCTTTCAAGGAGCCAGTAAAGGAGTTTTTGGAGAAGCCTTTCAAGGAGCCAGTGAAGGAGTTTTTGGAGAAGCCTTTCAAGGAGAGTTCAGACGAGCCCCTGTCTTTGAATGAGCCTGTAAGGGCTGCCTGCTTAAAGTGTGATTCCAGAGAGGGTGATTGTGATCGTGCGCGCGTGGAGAGTGCTGAACTGGCACTGGACAGCGAGGCTGCAAGGCCCATGTCAGCGGAGACACCAGGTGCCACGTCAGCAGAGGCGCCGACTGCTACGTCAGCGCAGGCGGAGCAGAACTCGAGTGCGTTCTCCATGGCGCTCCAGAATGTGTTCGCCGGGGCCATGCTCAAATCCATTGCCTCCACCACTGGTAACCACTCACCCACCCCCTTTCTTGGAGGGTAACTCTCCCCCTTCCCCCCCTTCCGCCCTCCCTTGTGAGAACGTGTTCGCCGGTGCCATGCTCAAATCCATCGTCTCCACCACCGGTAACTCACCTTCCCATTCCCTCTTATTGGAGGGTAACCCACCCGCCCAACCCCCCATGCCACCCCTCCCCTTTTTGAGAACGTGTTTCCGGTGCCATGCTCAAATCCATTGCCTCCACTGGTTACTCACACTCGCCTATATTAGAGGGTAGCTCACCCCAACCCCTAACCCCCCTCCCCACCTCTCCTTGGGGAACGTGTTTGCCGGAGCCATGCTCAAATCCATCGCCAACACCACTGGTGAGTCGTCCTTTCCCTTCTCCAATCCCTCGCTGACATCCCCCTTTTAAATCCCTCTCTCTAGCCCTCTTCCATTCCCGTGCTGCTGTTCCGGTAGTTTCTTTCCCACCCCTCCACCTGCTCAAACACCCCCCCTCCCCCCTCCTCCCCCCCCCCCTTCACCCCTCTTTCTCTTTCCACATGTGCTTTCCCTTCCCCCTCATCCTAATTTCCCCCCAAAACGCTCCTGCCCGCCCTCCAGGTCTGGTGGGAGGCATGAACCGATTCACCCTCTCCACCGTCTCCCACCCCCCTCCTCATGTGCCTTCCCGTTTCCATCTTCCCTCCCCCCTCCGCCCGTCCTCTCAGGTCTGTTCGGAGGCATCAACCCGCTCACCCTCTCCACCGTCTCGCACCTCGTGCTTCGTGACAGCAACAGCAGGCCCGGTCAACTTGTTCTTATCTAAGGCCCTCAGCCCTTCCTTCAATTTATTTCCCCTGCCCGCCCCCTCTCTCCAGGTCTGTTTGGAGGCATCAACCCGCTCACCCTCTCCACTGAGGTGACTTCTGAGTTGACTCAGAAGTCGCATTGTCCTTTTCCTCCAAAATGCGCCCCCCCTCTCCAGGTCTGTTCGGAGGCATCAACCCGCTCACCCTCTCCACCGTCTCGCACCTCGTGCTTCGTGACAGCAACTGCCGGCCCGGTCAACCCGGTCAACCCAGTCAACCCGGTCAGCCCAGTCAGCCCAGTCAACCCAGTCAACCCGGTCAACCCAGTCAACCCGGTCAGGTTAGTCCGGTGACCTGGGCGGATACGTTGATGGGAGAGGTGGAGCTGGAGATGGAGGAAGAGCGGCGGAGGAGGAGTGAAGGGGAAGGGGAGAGTGGGAGAAAGGGTGGGTGTGGCAATGGCAATGGGGCTGCGCTGCTGCGCGGCTTAGATGGCGATGGTGACGGTGACGCCAGTGCTGATGCTGGTCATGATGATGGTGGTGTTGACAGTGTTGGTGCTGGTGATGACGATGGTTGTGGCGGTGCTGGTGCTGGTGCTGGTGCTGGTGCTGGTGCTGGTGGTCGTCGTCGTGACGGTGCTACTGATCGTTCTGCTGCTGCGACTGCTGGTGCTGCAGGCGGGGAAGCACATGGGGACGATGAATCGCAGGTGGAGGGAGGTGAGGGAGAGAGAGTGAGTGAAGTTTCAGGAGGGGAAGAGAGGAGGAGTAGAGAGGAGAAGGCGAGACATGAGGGTCAATCGTGCCTTCGAGGGGATAGCTGCACTGGCGGCAGCATGAGCAGCAGCAGCAACAACAACAACAACAACAGCAACAGTAACAGCACCAGCACCAGCAGCAGCAGTAGCATCAACAACAGTAGCAGTAGCAACAGCACCACCACCAGTAGCAGCAGAAATATTAGCACGAGTAGAGATGTGCTCAGGGACGAGTTTGGATGTGACTCAAACGAGGGACAGCAGCAAGAGCAGCTGGCCACTGTCACACCTGCCCTGTCCAATCCTCCTACCATGGCACCTTCTCCCTCTTCCTCCGCTGCTCCCACTGCGACAGCCGCTCCTGCGGCTCCACCTGCTGCTCCCTCCGTCTCTGCTGCTCCGCCTGACCCCCCTTCGTCCTCCTCTCTGGCCTCTATGTTCCCCCTCTCCCTCCCTGGCTTCCTGCCCTCCCCTGCTGTCCGCCTCTACTCCTCCACTGCCACCGCCACCGCCCCCACAAACGTTGGCCCCATCACCAGCGCCGCCACCGCCACCACACCCACCAGCAACACCGCCCCCACCAGCACCGCCCCTACCAACACTGCCACGCCTCCTGCTGCTGCTTCCACTGCTGCCTCTGTTGATTCTACTGCCGCTGCTGTTGCCACCAGCGCCACTGTCAACAGCAACACCAGCAGCAGCACCACCGCCAATATTGCCAACAGCAGCACTGCTACCACGCCTGCTCCTCCCACGCCTCTGGCGTCGTCCTCCCCGTCCTCTCTCGTCCCCTCCCCACCCACCCTCAATCCCTCCGGCAATTCAAAGCAGAAGGTGCTGGGAAGCTTCACTGCTTGCAGCAGCAACGCCCCTGCCTCTACTACAACTGCTGCTGCTGCTGCCGAACTAAAAGCTGCCCCTGCCACAGCCCCCACCGGGAATACGGGCAGGGAAGGAGTTGTTGGTCTGCCCTGTCTGCCCGTTGCAGCAGGAGCAGCGGTGGCAGCTGCAACTGCTGGAATCGCCGCTGCTTCTGCTGCTGCTGCGGATGGTGCAGGAGTAGCAAATAGTGTGAGTGGTGCGAATGGTGCAACGGCAGGGAGCGTTACAAGCGTTACCGCAGCTCCCATGTCAGCATCCGCACCCTTCTCCTTCTCCTCCCCTGCTTACCCCCACGCCCACCCCCCACCTTACACCCACCCGCAACCTCCCCCTCCTGTCTTGGCCCAAACCTCGGTTACCTCCCATGCCACCTGGCCAGGCTCGGGGACTTCAGCTCCACACACTGTGTTCCCGGACTTGCTTGTGCAGCCAGGTTCGGCAGGTGTGGGGGGAGGAACGGGAGGGGCTGGGGTAGGGGGGAGTGAGGTGGGGGGGATGAGGGGGAGGAGAAGGCGGTTGGTGGTGGCACAAAGGAGGCGTGGGGATGCGGGTAGTGGGGAAGAGATGGGGGGGGCAGGAGGGGCAGTGGGAGCAGTGAGTGCAGGGAAGACAGGAGTTGGAGGGGCAGGTGGGGTGGCAGGAGCGGTTGCAGGAGGGGTGGCAGGAGGGGTGGCAGGAGGGGTGGCAGGAGGGGCGACAGGAATGGGAGAGGGCGAGGAGAGGTATGGTTTGGTGCAGGCAGGGATGGGTGAAGGCATGGGTTATGCTGATGGCAGTGCAGGCGGAAGTGTAACCACCAATGGAAACTGTGCTTCTGCTGCTGCCCTGCCCAACCGTACTGTAGCTGCCAGTAATCCACCTAGCTGTACCATGCCTGGTGCTGCTGTACCAGGTAGTGCGGTTACTGCTGTAGCGGGTGGTGCAGGTACTGTAGGTACGGTTGTAGCCGGTTCTGCTACAGGGGGTGCTGCTGTATCAGGAGCGGCTGGCAGTGCAGTGAACCAGCGTGCTTTGTTGAATCCACCTGCTCTGTTGAATTCTCCTGGCGTGATGGTGTCGTTTGGTCCGCTTCAGTCGCAGCAGGGCGCGTCAGGTGGTGTGCTCGGTGGTGCACTGGCAGGCAGGGCAACAGAGAGAGTGAGTGTGTCTGGTGCGGCAGGGTCTGTTGGGGTGACCACAGGTGTGCCAAGCACTGGTGTAACAAGCAGCGGCGGCGTGACGAGCAGTGGAGGTGTTACAAGCAATGGTGTAACGTGTGGGGGTGTTACCAGTGGTGGTGTTACAAGCAACGCGTCAAGTGGCAAACCTACCAGTACGACCAGTGGCATTACAGTAGGGTTACCAGCAGTGACAGCAGCAACAACAGCAGCAGCAGCAGCAGCGGCAGTGGCAGCGGCGACAGCAGCGGTGGGGAAGGGAGCGGAGAGTGTGGAGGGGGTGATGGAGCGGTTGGAGCAGCTGCACTCCACCCATGGGGCCGTGCTGAAGCAGTGCGTGCACCTTGAGAGGCGTGTTGAGGAGCTCGAAGGACAGGTAGGTGCAGAGTGGTGTGCGCAGATGGAGAAGGTAGGAATGGGGGGGCGGGGTATTGAGGTATGCATGCCACCCATGGGGCCGTGCTGAAGCAGTGCGTGCACCTTGAGAGGCGTGTTGAGGAGCTCGAAGGACAGGTGGGTGCAGAGCGGTATGTGCAGGTAGGGAAGGAATGGAGGGACAGGGTGTTTAGGAATGCGTGGGATCGTGCTGAAGCAGTGCGTGAGTCGATGCACACTCCACATTCTCCTCCCCTCTCCTCTCTCCCTTCCTCCGTTCCCTTTCCCCTGTTAGGTGGACGAGAGGCGAGAGCAGCACACGGCATGGCTGGAGGCTCTGATTGGACCCTCAACCCACACTGCTGTCTCTCCCCTCTCCTTTCCCCTTGCATCCGCCCGCCCATCCCTACCCCAGGTGGACGAGCGGAAGGAGCAGCACACGGCATGGCTGGAGGCGAGGGTGAGAGAGCTGGAGGCGGCAGTGGACGACAGCAAGCACTGGGCGCAGCAACGGGTGAGTGGGGGTGGAGGTGGGGAGGTATAGGAAGGGTGGTTATAAGTGGGTGAACGGGTGAGGTGAGAGAGGGCAAGCAGAGAGCTGGAGGCTGCAGTAGACGACAGCAAGCACTGGGCGCAGCAACGGGTGAGTGGGGGTGGAGGTGGGGAGGTATAGGAAGGGTGGTTATAAGTGGGTGAACGGGTGAGGTGAGAGAGGGCAAGCAGAGAGCTGGAGGCTGCAGTAGACGACAGCAAGCACTGGGCGCAGCAACGGGTGAGTGGGGGGGAAAGAAAAGAGGTGGGGGGGAGGGGGCCTCGCTGCTATCTATCCGTTTTCTCCTTTTCTCCCCCGTCCTTTCTCACCCCTCCCCCCCCCCCTCTTTCTCCACTTCTATCCCCTCCCGCAGGTGATGCAGGTGGCACAGAAGCTGGTGAGGGAGAGCAAGGAGCTGCGGCAGCTGAGGGCGGAGCGGGAGGAGTGGGTGCGCAGCCGGCGCGAGCAGGACGGCAAGGAGGAGAGCGCGGCAAGGCAGCTGGGCGAGATGGAGGCGGCCCTCAGGAAGGCGTCGGGACAGGTGGACCGCGCCAACGCGGCCGTGTGCCGGCTTGAGGCAGAGAATGCAGAGGTGAGCAAGTACTATCAGGGTTCGAGGTTTATGGTGTGTGTTTGGGAGTGGGAGAGCACAGCACGGCAGCTGGGCGAGATGGAGGTGGCTCTCAGGAAGGCGTCGGGGCAGGTCAACCGCGCCAATGCTGCCGTGTGCCGCTTGGAGGCAGAGAATGCTGAGGTGAGCGCGTTCAGGGATTCGGGTTTAGGGTTGAAGGTTTGTGTGGTGGCATATCAAGGCAGCTGGGCGAGATGGAGGCGGCTCTCAGGAAGGCGTCGGGGCAGGTCAACCGCGCTAATGCTGCCGTGGTGCCGCTTGGAAGTGGAGAATGCAGAGGTGAGCTGGGAGAAATTAAAAACTACTATCAGGGTTTGAGGTTTATGGTGTGTGTTTGGGAGTGGGAGAGCGTGGCGCGCCAGCTGGCGAGATGGAGGCGGCTCTCAGGAAGGCGTTGGGGCAGGTGGACCGTGCCAATGCAGCCGTGTGCCGCCTGGAAGCAGAGAATGCTGAGGTGGGTGAGTGGACTGATGGGGGAAAGGGAGTGGGTTTGTATCTAATGCGGCAGGGCTGAGGGTATTTTTGAGGTGCCTCAAAAATGGGGGAAAGGAGTGGGTTTGTATTTAATGTGGCAGGGCTGAGGGTATTTTTGAGGTGCCTCAAAAATGGGGGAAAGGAGTGGGTTTGTATTTAATGTGGCAGGGCTGAGGGCGAGCGAGGCGAGCTGCCAGGCGCTGCCTCTTAGATTGGTCTGCTGTCATGGCTTCACCTCTCTTCTGACCCCTACCCCATTCCTGCTTTCTACTCTCCCGGCACTTCAGCTGAGAGTGGTGCTGTAGGCAGCAGGGCTGAGGGTGAGCGAGGCGAGTGCCAAGCTGCTGCCATCTAAGCTGGCTGCTGTGCGCTCACCTCTCGTCCGAACCCCCTCCCACACGTGCCTCTCTGATGCCATTTCCCTTGTCCCATCTCAGTTGCGAGCGGAGCTGCAGGCGGCAGGGCTGAGGGTGAGCGAGGCGAGTGCCAAGCTGGCAGAGGCGGGCAAGCGGGAGGGCAAGGCGCTCAAGCGTGTGCAGGCGATCGAGAGGGTCAAGGCAAAGCTGCAGGTGGGTGCTTTTGCCGAGTTTTGTTCTGTCTGCTGGTTCCACCCTTCCACGTGTGGCTGTTGTCTCCTGCACGAGGAGAGAACGAACCTGAACGAACCTCAAAAGTCGCCTCAAGAGGCGCCTCAAAAACACCCTTCCACGTGTGGCTGTTGTCTCCTGCACGAGGAGAGAACGAACATGAACGAACCTCAAAAGTCGCCTCAAGAGGCGCCTCAAAAACACCCTTCCACGTGTGGCTGTTGTCTCCTGCACGAGGAGAGAACGAACCTGAACGAACCTCAAAAGTCGCCTCAAAAACACCCTTCCACGTGTGGCTGTTGTCTCCTGCACGAGGAGAGAACGAACCTGCTACAAGACATGCGGCGCACACTGTTGTGCAGGTGCCTTTGAAGTCGCCTCAAAAAACGATGAGCAAAGGCACTGCCTGCAAGAAGGGCACTCTGTTCAGCTGCCGCAGAAACTGATTCCAGAAGGAGCTAGCGGACGAGAGGCGGAGCAGCGGTGGCGACAGGAGGAGAAGACGCGTGAGGAGGCTCTACTTGTTGGCGGAGGCAATTTTTGTAAATCCCCAAAAGCCAACTGAGTTCTTGTGTCCCGCTCCCCCTACAGGAGGAGCTAACAGACGAGAGGCGCAAGCTGGCATCCACCCTTTCGGATCTCGAAGCAATGCGGCGGCGGCAGCAGCAGGCGGAGCAGCGGTGGCGGCAGGAGGAAAAGGCTCGAGAGGAAGCAGCTGCTCGCGCCGACGCCGAGTGCCGCGCGCGCGAGCAGGCGGAGACGGCGTGGAAGCAGCGCGAGGAGACACTAAGAGGCAAGAGCGAGGCGGATGTGAAGCGCGTTCGTGGCGAGGTGGCACGGCTGGAAAGGGAGGTGGTGCAGCTGAGGATCATGGCCGGGGCGAGCCTGTGGGGTGGCAGCGGTGGGGGCAGTAGCGGGGGTGCGGGAGGGGTGGGAGTGGGGTGTGTAGGTGCCAGTGGGTCGAGGGTTGGCGGCGTGGGGTTGTTAGGGAGTGGGGTTGGCGCTGGTGCTGGTGGGGGGAGTGGGAGTGGGAGCGGGGGTGGAGGTGGGGGTGGTGGTGGTAGTAGTAGCAGTGTGGCGGCGAGTGTGGTGGCGGCAGCGAGTGCGCAGGCACTGAGAGAAGCGAATGCACGGGGAGTCCTCTTTGACTTCCCTCTTGGGACTCCTCCTGCTGCTCCTGCTCCTGCTCCTGCTCCTGCTGGCGCTGCTGCTCCTGGTGCTTCCCCCGCAGCTGCTGCCGCTGTTGCTGGTGGGGGTGTTGGGTTGGGTGGTGGACAGAGGATGATGGGCCAGCTTGGTACTGTTGCGCGGATGGGTGGGATGTCAGGAGTGGCAGGAACGGCAGGAGTGGCCGGAGTGGCACCGCTGAATGGGATAAACTTTGGGGGAGCAGGCTTGGGAGGGGCAGGAGGGGCAGGGGTTGCAGGCAAGGGGGGGAGGCAGGGAGTGGCAGCAGGGCATGGAGGGGGGCGCTACCATGGGGTCATTGGGGGGGGGCGGGGAGGGGGAGGGGGCGGGGCAGGGGGGGGAGGAGGCGGAGGCGGAGGTGGAGTTGCAGGAGGAGGGGGAGGGGGAGGCATTCTCAGTAACAGTCTTACCGGCAACCCTGCTTCTGCCGCTGCAGTGGGCACCACAGCAGGTCATGGCGCCCTGCTGCCCCACATTGGGCTCGGCGGGATCGTTCTAGGCGGGGCAGGAGGAGGAGCAGAAGCAAGCCTGGGGGCAGGGCTGGGGATGGGGCCAGTGTTCGGAATGGGCATGGGGGGAGGAGGAGGGGGGGGAGTGAGGAGGGAGAGGGAGTGTGTGATGTGCATGAGTGAGGAGGTGCAGGTGGTGTTCCTGCCATGTGCCCACCAGATCGTGTGCCTCGCCTGCAACGATGCTCTCCTCGCCCGCCGCATGCCCGACTGCCCCACGTGCCGCTCGCCCATCTCCCAGCGCATCCGCGTCTTCGGCCCGCAGTAGGGTGAGTGAATGAATGAGGGAGTGTGTTCGGCCCGCAGAAGGGTGAGTGAATGAGTGAGTGTGAGTGTGTTTGGCTCTCGGTAGAGCCACATTGGCCATAGTCGTTGGGTGGGTAGTGAGTACTGGTTGGTGTTGCTGTTTCTGAACAGCAATTGTGGCGAGCATAGCGAGCTTTCAGCACCAAGTCTGCACTTGCCACCTTCACCTGTTGGCCAGTGTTGTCATGGCAGTCGCTTTGCCTTTCAATTTGCCTGGCTTTTATCAGAACTGACTATGGTGTTTCCTTCCTATGCTGATCTGTTTCCTGACAGGTGGAGAGTCTTCTCACGCATGCCTGCCTCGCCTCTCCGATTTAATGCTGCCAGGTGCCTCGATTGAGACAAACCTGTCGTGTCACCTGAGCTTAGCGTCTGCGTGATTCTACAGGAGAATTGGCTCTGACATTTCATTACATTTTCCTATTTTGTTGGTTGGAATGACTTGGATTTGATGGTTCGTGAAAGTTAATGTATCTACAGTGCTACCGAAACTGACATTCATCATTATTAGGTTATGGAGTAAGTTGTACCCTCAATTCGAGACTGCATATTACCTCGACAACATACGTGTCAGTCACTAACGGAGCATCGCAATGAATTGCGGGCCCAACCCGCCTGGGCGTTGAAAATGGAAGAATTTTCGGCAGTGGGGATCGAATGGTGGAGGAGGAAAGGCAGATCACAAGTGGTGGAAGCTGCCGCACATCCCTCAAATCTTCCCCGAGAAACACCTCGCATCGCATCGCAGGATGAAGGAACCCCCTCCCTTACCGGCACGGCGAATTGTTTCGTTCAAGTACGCGGAAAGCTCGAGAGAGTTGCGAAGATTTGACACCTGAATACATTGTCGTTCTGCAGGTCGCGAAAGGCATATTCGTTCGTTAGAAGTTGTTGGGAGTGGAGGGTTACCACCACCACCCTCGCAAAAGGACAAGAGCAGCCTCCAGAAACAGCCGACAAATCTGCCTCCTAGATCACAAGGTTGAATGGTCTCCTCTCCTCTCCCACCCGCGTGATACGCCAGCTGGCTTTTGAACATTCCACCCTTTCCTTCTCTCCCCGCCGCGCATCCACCACCACCCTTCTAGCCACAAACCCGCGCTGCTGTGGGCCTTGGTGATACAATATAAGATGGCTCCACGGTTGATCTAGTACATCCAGTACACAGTAACAGAGCTTGTTTGCTCGTCTCGGATTCCATCGCCTCAGCCAGTCAATCTCTTCCCGGTGTTTGCAACCCTAGCATCGCCGTTGATCTTTGGGACAGGCCATTCTTAAAAACGCTGAAGCATCGCAAGATATATAAGCAGACGTTGTCAGTCTCTGAATCCCAGCGACTATGGCTGTCAAGTCGACTCTTTTCGCGCTCTTCCTCCTCTCACTCGCTCTGTCATGTAAGTGCACTCGCAACCTGAACTTAACAAGCATCCATCCCAAATTTGTTCGGCGAAAATATCAAGTAAACACAATGTCGACACACTGAAACTATGTAGTGCGCACATTGTACTGACGGACTATGTAAGTATAGGTTCTGCGACTTACAAGCTACTCTACACCTGGCAATAAGGTACGTACTATGTGGATACTCAAATTTTGAGTAGAATGTACATTGTGCATATTTCTCATATAGAAAGACCGTACTCATACCATCCTGATACAGTCTGTACGGAGTTCACGCAATGACTCTACTGCTTGAGGAACCTGAAGTCAGTACATTGTACAAACTATGCCCTTATTATGTGAGTACTATGTCCTTATAACGTGACTACGTTATAGGTTTTTCAAGCGCATTGTTGCGATATTTTCTTTTCGTTTCAGGTTCCCGCTTTTCATCATATGGTGAGACATGTCACTGAATCGCATATATTAAACAATATTTACACGATTACACATTTACAGAAACGACGAGGACAGTCTCCACAATAACCATAACACCATGTGTCTTCACACTAAAGGACTCTCGTACGTGAGTGAACTTGGAAGTGACGAGGTCTCAATCCATCCCTGCAAAAACGGGAAACAAATTTCTACATTAAATAACGTCGCTGGAAAAAGGCTGAAAGTGAAGATAAGTAAATAGGGTATGCTACCTGGACAATCAGGTCGCCGTCAAATCCACGTCGCGTTGCGTATGCGATTTATAGCCACGACAAGAAACCACGTCTACTTAGACAGTGTAGTCGCCTGCAAAACCAGGGGGCGCTAGTGTTGAAAACGGCTCAGATACAGCAAGAAAAGTTGTAGTCATGCTTAAAAACTGTAAGGTTCTGAATGAAGAAACCCGCCAAGAGCGAAGTAGCCGGTTAACCAGGATACATGACAGCAACTAAGGCTGAAAGGATAGGCATAAGGGAAAGACAAGAACTTGAAGCATAATGGAGCTAGGAAAAGGGACTAGGGGCTGGGATGGAAGGAAACCAAGAGACCTAGGAATGAGAGTTGGGTTGGTGCTTGCGTTGGCATATATGGCGTGACTGCTTGCCCGAGATCAGATTGTGATGGAACATCGACCAATCAAAACAAGGCTGCATTATCTGTGCTGCCAAGTCAGTTCATCTTTCGATCCTAACCACCGGTACCTGATCAATCGACGGCTGTTGCATCACGAAGGACCAGGAGTCATAGACGACTGAGATTCCAACTAGACACACCTCACTTGTGATCTTAACCATACAACACCTTTAATATCGACGGCTGAGTATCCAAACTACAATCTGCTGATCGACGGTCGTCATTCCAACTTGGAACAAATATCTCAGGCTCAATCGTCACCGTTCCCAATTGTTAACATCAACGGTCCAGATTCCAACCTGGACAAATTTGGCCATTGACCTGATTGTAATCTTGTCTGTTCATGAGTACTCGCATCGACGGACATCCTTTCTTTAGCTACCACACTCAGACAGTCCGGGTAAACTCGTGCAAAAACCCAACAGCAAATTTTAGTAGATACGAAGTCAGGACACTGTAGCGAGTCGTTTGCCATGGCAAGGTATCTACCGTATCAGCAGCTACAAAGTCGACACCAAGAGAAATATGGTACAGACTGAGATTTTACTTTTGACAAAGTACAATGTGTTGAGTTTATTCGGGAGTATTTGCTGTGTGCGAGGTGGCTATAAAACTACCCTTGTACAACTCATCAACAATGCATCGACTTCGACATTACTTTGTTCCTGGCACCAAGGTGGGTACTTCAACTCCAAATACGACTTCTCTCCCAGAACGATTTTTGGGATGTCATCCCGCGAAACTCAGCAGTTTGTTTTGCCTCACACGCATGTTGCTTCGCTTACTGCAAGCGAATTGGAGTTCCACTCGCCCTAACGGCTGCTGGTTGTCTTGGCTCTGTTACCTCTCTCTCGCTCACTGCAGGTGCGGCCTTCAGGATGGCGCCTGGCTACGGCCAGGGTGGCAGAGGCGGCGGGGGCTTCAGATGGGGCCAGGGTGGATGGGGGCAGTACGGCGGCCACCCAGGAAAACGCATCGGTGAGTTTCTCCTCCGTTGTTAGTTTTCTTAGCATCTCTCTCTCTCTCTCTCTCTCTCTCTCTCTCTCTCTCTCTCTCTCTCTCTCTCTCTCTCTCTCTCTCTCTCTCTCTCTCTCTCTCTCTCTCTCTCTCTCTCTCTCTCTCTCTCTCTCTCTCTCTCCCTCTCTCCCTCTCTCCCTCTCTCCCTCTCTCTCCCTCTCTCCCTCTCTCTCCCTCTCTCCCTCTCTCCCCCCCCCCCCCCCTCCCTCACTCGCCAATCACCCACACACCTTCAATCCCTTCCCTTGCTACCGCTCAGGAGCACTGGCGGCGCGCATGCTGGGTAACAACGTGGCTGACGCATCAGGCACAGTCACGGGCGACGTCAACGCTACGGGCGTCGTGCTGCTCGCCGCCTACAAGTAAGACGCTCACCTCAAGTCGCCTTTAAAAGATTTTTTTTTTTTTTTTTTTTTTTTTTTTTTTTTTTTTTTCATGTCACTCTGATCATGTCTCACTGCTGCTTGTGGGGTTTACCTACGGCATATCCCCGTGCTCCTGCCGTGCATCCTGTTCCTGGTACCTATTTGTTATGCCGCGCACGTCTTACACCTTGTTCGCTCTCCCTCGTCGCAATCACTCGCCTTCCCTCCTGCAGCTACAGCGGCGACTACAACATCCGCTACGGTGCTGCCCTCAAGCTCACCGACGCGGGCTTGCCCACATCCATTACCATCAACGACAACGCCACGTCAGCAGTCGTCCTGGATTTTGGCGCCAGTGCCACATGGACCAATCTCACGTGGTCTGGAAACTGCTCTGCACTGAACGCCAATGGTACTCTGAAGCGCGGCGCCCGCCGCCAGCCGCCCTTCCCGAAGTTCTTTGGCTTCTTCCGCCCTCCCGTTCCCTCGGGATTTGTTTATGGGTTTGCTGGAATGTGGTACAATGCAAGCACTATTACCACGGCGGCCGGGCCGACTTATAAGGATGTGATGGATCTGCTTCTGGCGAATCCTGCTTCTTACTATGCGGTTGCTTCCACTGATGCTTATCCCAATGGTGCGGCTCTTGGGTCGTTTGCGGCCCGTAACTGTCCTGCTGATACGTCTTACTGGAACCGTCAGTAAAGGAGATGCAGGGGGAAGGCTGGATATGGGAGCAGGTTTTTTTTTAGTGCAAGGGTTATCTGTTGCTGTGCACAGGGTGTCTGTGAAATGGGTGGGATGGGGTGCATTCGATTACAGGGGGAACAGCCTTGCGTTTTGGCTCCTACGTGCTTACAGATAAAAGGCTGTTTCTTGCTGTAATTTTGTTTTCTGAATATGAGAGTTATTTTTATGGAGAAATTTATTAAATTGCATGATGTACACTGGTTCATCCCCTTTTCAAGGAAGAATGGCTTCCGTCGCCAACTCAAGAGTACGTGGCACTGCCTGATTGCATTCCGAAACTTCCAAAGCTCTGACAATCTCGAGGGCTCCACGTGGCAGGAACTGACACCCCTAGCCTTGAACACTCTGTTCCACTACCTTCCCTTTCCCCGTGTAGTTATCGTAGAACTCACGCACTGCTGCAAATAGCTAAAATCCGTGCTAGGTCGGTTGACACACGGGTCAGCTCGTCGGCTCGTGTTGCCCCATTCTTTGTCAGTCGCGTCGCGCGGCGATCCGTTCTCGCCATGTCGGGCGTTCTCGCAGTCTCCCCGCTCATCGCGGCGGGCAAGCTTGTCCGCGTCTCCCTCCATCAACACCCAGCCGCGTTCAACCAACAACGTCCGGCGCCCGCCTTTCAAAGAAACCTATCCGCCAGAAGCCGCATTACCCGAGCAAATGCTCCGCGATTGCAGCCCGTAGAGTGCACGCGGACTTCCAGTCAACTCTCTCGCACCTCAGAATGTGACAATAGCGAAGCGCGTGCGTCGGCGGCAATTTCGCCTCCTCCGTTCGCGGCTCAGCCCGCCTTGTCCTCTCCTTCTCTCCCAATCTCTCTGCTATCTCTTCTCCCGCTGCTTCCGCTTATCCTCGCCGATCGGGTGCTGGCGGAGCCCGTTCCGCTCTTCGAGAACGGCGCCGACGTGCTGACGGCTGCGGGCAGCGGCGAGCCCGTTACCAACAGCGTCATTTCGCTACTCTTCGGCATCGCTGTCGTCGGACTGGTCGTGCTGACTGGCGGGGTGAGTGTCTCTTTCAATGATAGCGAAAGATAATTCAAACTCAATTAGTGGCCAATAGCCAGATACGAGATCCTTGAGGATTCTCCAATTCAATGATCAGGAACGGAATGAGCCCCTTTCAACGTATTGCGCTCGATTGTATCCAACGAGTCAAATCTGGTCAAACGTTTAGCCTCGTGTGGTGAATTCTGAAAATTTGTGTCAAAGGCACTTCAACGCTCTAAGGAAACTGGACACTGAAAGCAAGTCACTGAAACTACCCCTCCAGTCCCAGTCATGCCCGATGAATCTTTTAATGGCTGGGCAGGACTGCGAGTCCCTGTCATGCATGGACAGGAAGGACGCCCTGCTATCCGTGCCCCGGTGCCACACTGCCACCCCATCCAAACCAAGCGCACGATGGGCACGTCGCCTCGCATTGCGCTGTTTGGTGGGCGGTCTCTGGAGCCACTTCTGAGAATTCTAAAAAATTGTTTCTTTCTGAGAAACGGCTCACCAGGCAGGTGCTCGTGCTCAGGAGAATTCTCAGGAGCCTGAGCACGAGGGGCACGTCACCGCACTTCACTGCGTGACAGGTCGAGAGGATTCTCGAGGCGCTTTAGAATTGGCCACCCCATGGAAACTCCTGGCAATGCCTCTCCTATCCCTCCTTCATTCCTGTCCCAATCGATTACCCATACACCCGTCCCCCCAACCCCCCCTCCATCCCTCCGTCCGGCTTCCTCTTTTCTTTAACCACGAGCAGGTGGGGTCCTTGGCAACAGCCAAGTCTGTCACTCTCCTCTGCTTCAATCCCCTCTGTTCGACTCTCCTCGCACGCCCTTTTTTTCGATGCGTTTATTTTAGGATCAAGCGCCACGAGCAGGTGACATTCCTGGCAGCAGCGGAGCCTGTGAATCTCCTCAGTGTGAACACCCCCCTCTCAGGTCCCTACCTATTCCTCCCCCCCCCCCCCCCTCTCCCTCCCCCCACTCGCCCCTACCCCCCAACGCACGATGTCCAGGGGCTCCTCTCTCCCTCCCTCCCTCCTCTCATTCCTGCTCCCACCTGCTTCTTCCCCGCTTCCCCCTTTGAGCAGGTGGGGCACCTAGCATACACGGACTGGCAGGACAAGCGAGAGATGGAGAGGCTGGCAGCAGCGGAACCGGTGAAGCGGCCTCTTCACCCTTCCTTGCTCTCCTCGTCCCTGCTGCTCCCCTCTCTCGTCTCCCTCACTCCAGGTGGGGTATCTGGCGTACACGGACTGGCAGGACAAGAGGGAGATGGAGAAGCTGGCAGCAGCGGAACCGGTGAAGCGGCCGCTTCACCCCCTGCTCTCCTCGTCCCTGCTGCTCCCCTCTCTCGTCTCCCTCACTCCAGGTGGGGTACCTGGCGTACACGGACTGGCAGGACAAGAGGGAGATGGAGAAGCTGGCAGCAGCAGAGCCGGTGGATCCCGTCTGTGTGGCTCCCCTCTCCCCTCATCCCTGCTATCTTCTTCCCTTCCTCCCCTCCGCCCTTCCCTCTTCCCAACTTGAGCAGGTGGGGTACCTAGCATACACGGACTGGCAGGACAAGAGGGAGATAGAGAAGCTGGCGGCAGCAGAGCCGGTGAAGCGGCCGACAGCCACGTCTGAGATCCGCGCCGCCATGAAGTCGCCGCCCAGAGCCACACCCAAGGGGTTTGGGAAGAAGTCGGAGAAGGAGATTGCGGAGGAGAGTGATGCTTGAGTCGAACAATTAATGTAGATACAGTTGTTAAGGTGCTTTGATAATGTGCTATGATGTCTTGCTAGCCAAGCGGCACATGCTAAGGGTTGGAAAGAAATTGGCCAGGGAAATTGAGAGTGTTGCTTGATATGGTAATAAAACCGCTGTGGGTAGTGTACTTCTCGTAGTGGCCATTTACAACAGAGCAAGTAAATTCAACTGTCCTTTTCTCTGGGTAGTGTGCAATGTGGAAAGTTTAGTCTCTTACAGCCATGGAATATGAGTAACTTTACTGGCGCAGTGCATCACCATCCGAACGAACCTTGAGTCACCTAATGTTGAGTCTTCACTCTTACAGTACACTGTATTCCCCTCGTCAATTCGCCTCTCTTCTTGGTCAAATATGTTAGCTTGGCACTTGCCCAACGCCACGCCACTCTCCTCGACCTGCATGCTCCAGCTACTACCGTACCCCTCACTCACGTTCTCGCCGCTGTCTCTCCGCACCACGCGTTTCCTATCCGGCTGAGGTCAGCTTCGAGACCATCTGACGTCAGCTTCAGCTGATGAGTCACTCGATTTCCTCCGACCAATCAGAGACCCCCCTCGCTCCGCGTGATGATTCGCCCCGGTATTCCCGAGGCGCCTCGTCAGCTCACCCCGGCGCTCGCTCGCACGACAGGCTCGGGATATTGGGACTCGCGGGCCGCCTCCTCGACGACATCCCGCATTTTTCGCCACAATGGTCGGGGCTGTTCCTCATCGGAGCGCTGCTCTCGCTGTCCTGGTTGGCGGGGCGCGTGCGGTTCGGGCTCCTGCCCATGCTGCTGGTGTGCCTGTTCGTGTACCATGAGGTAGCTTGAAGCCAATTGCATCCATATCGGGGTGTGGTCGCTTCTGCTCCTTCTGTGTGTGGTTATTCTATTATTTAGATTAAACTAGTTCTTAGGCGGCAAGTGAGTTCCCTTCGTGTATCCCCTTTGCAGGTGTTCAAGCAGGCGACGCTACAGGCGGCGCTACAGGCGGCGCTACTGGCGGCGCTACAGGCGGCGCTACAGGCGGCGCTACAGGCGGCGCTACAGGCGGTGCTACAGCGGCACCCCATGGCCGACTCGGAGACGGCGCACTCTCGAGTCGGCTCAAAGCCCACCCTCCTTCCCATTCCTCCCCACAGTTGCCCTAGCCGCATCTGGTTCAACAACCAGCCTATACCTCTCCCCACCCCTTTCCACTCCCCTCTTAACAGGTGTCCAAACGGCAGAGGGTACGCGAAATGAAAGCAGCGCGGGTGGCGGCGCTACAGGCGGTGCTACAGCGGCACCCCATGGGCGACTCGGAGACGGCGCACTGGCTGAACGCGCTCGTGCAGCGCGCGTGGCCCGTGTTCCTCGAACGCCTGCTGTCCACGCAGCTCGCTCCTGCCCTCGCGCCCTGGTTCTTCGAGAAATACCTGCCCTGGCAGGCGGTGAGTTGGGGCATACGGGGTGAGGATGGGTGCTGTGGGTTGTTGTTGGGGCATAGGGGGTGAGAAGGGGTGCACTGTGCTGTGGTTGGGGCATAGGGGGTGAGAAGGGGGTGACAGACGGTGAGCATGAGCATTGACCCACATGCTCCTCCCACCCACATGCTCCTCCCACCCACATGCTCCTCCCACCCACATGCTCCTCCCACCCACATGCTCCTCCCACCCACATGCTCCTCCCACCCACATGCTCCTTCCACACTCCCTTGTTCCCCCTTCCCCCTCCCCCCCATATGGGCAGCGCAAGGCGTGGCTGGAGCGGGTGTATCTGGGCAGTTCGCCGCCCGTCATTGCTGCTGTCAGGGTCGTGCACACCAACACCCTCGACGACCACGTGGTGCGGTGCGGTGTGACACGTTGCAGTGTGGTGTGGTGTGCGTGGAGGGCAGTATGATGCGTGGAGGTATGGTATGGTATGGTATGGTATGGTATGGTATGGTATGGTATGGTATGGTATGGTATGGTATGGTATGGTATTGCATGGGATGGCATGGTATGGCTCCCTCATTCAGTATCTGAGCTCGTATGTAATGGGTGATGTGCAGATGAGAGTCAATCATACCTTCATCCCTCTCTCCTCTCTATTCTACCCTCCCTCCCTCCTCCTTGCCAGGTGATAGAGGTAGCCACCGATTCACAGTGTGCAGCTAGTTACATCTTCTCCCTGCTGCTGCTGAATATGCTCCTCCTGCTGCTGCTGCTGCTGCTGCTGCTGCTGCTGCTGCTGCTGCTGCTGCTGCTGCTGCTGCTGCTGCTGCTGCTGCTGCTGCTGCTGCTGCTGATGCTGCTGCTGCCTCCCGTCTCATTCTTCTCCCTTCCCTTCTCCCTCCCTTGACCCCCTCTTTTCCAGGTGATAGAAGCAGCAACGGAGTTCGCAGCCTGCAGTGACATGTATGCGCTGGTGGGGGTGAAGATGCGGCGCCGCGTGGCGCTGGGCATGGTGGCACAGGGGCATGTGTCGGGCGTGCACATAGAGGGGAAGGTGAGTCGGGGGAGGTGTTATTTGGGGCAGGAGGGGCTTTGAGGTGCTGGGCATGGTGGCACAGGGCATGTGTCGGGCGTGCACATAGAGGGGAAGGTGAGACTCGGGCGGAATTTTGAGGGAGGTGGGATATTGGGAGACGATAGTTGTGTGTGCCACAGCACAGCAGAGGATGGGTACATAACTTTGCCATCTCTCCTCGCCATCTCCGACACCCCAACCCCCACTCCTTCTCTCCCCTCCCTTCTTTCTCCACCCCACTCGCTCGCCTCCAATATTTCCGAGCCTGCAGACGAGGGTCGGGATGAGGTTCACCTCGGAGTTTCCGTACGTGAGTCGAGTGCGAGTGAGCTTCGTGTTTTGTCCACCCGGCTCTCACCTCACCGCCACACACTGCAGACTCGGATCGGGATGAGGTTCACCTCGGAGTTCCCGTACGATTTTTGAGGCGCCTAAAAAACGGCTCTCCACTTTATCCACCCCGCTCTCACCTCACCTCACCTCCCTCACCTCACCTCACCTCCCAACACTGCAGACGAGGATTGGGATGAGGTTCACCTCGGAGTTCCCGTACGTGAGCCGGGTGCGAGTGAGCTTCGTGGGGGCGCCCTTCATCGGACTCACCGTCAAGCCCTCCGCACACCTCGGCTTTAACCTCGCTGACCTGCCCTTCTTTAGCTCCTGGCTGGTGGGTGGGGTGGTGGGTGCGTGGGTGCATGGGTGCATGGGTGGATGGGTGCATGGGTGCATGGGTGCATGGGTGGGTGGATGGGTGGATGGGGGAGGGCACAAGGCACCTTGCCGCTGTGAAGCCGTCGGCTTGAACCTCGCCGACCTCCTGTTCTTCTGCTCCTGGCTTCTGCTCCCGTGCGAGTTGACTATTGAGACGACTCAAAAGTCACATCCACTCTGAAGCCCTCGGCGCACATGGGCTCGAACCTCGCCGACCTCCCGTTCTTCTGCTCCTGGCTGGTGCGTCACGTTTGAGCATTCTCAAGAGTTTTTGCACGTGAGTCGCGTGCGAGTGAGCTTCGTGGGGGCGCCATTCACTGTGAAGCCCTCGGCTCACCTCGGATTCAACCCTCCAAGACCTGCCATGCCATGCCCTTCTTCAGGTCCTGGCTGGTGTGTAAGGTGGTGGTGGGGGGTGGGTAGTGGGGAATTGGGGTATTCATTTCAACTCATAAAAGGTTTTCCACATGATTCTTGGTGTTCGTTTCTCTGCCCCACCTGCCACTCACATGCACAGGATGAGATGCTTGCAACAGCACTGGAATCCTCAATGGTCGACCCCAACATGCTCGTCCTCGACATCACCCGCCTCGCCCTCAACAAGCATGACCCGTGTGTGTCTCCTCTCCTTTCCTCCCCCCCCCCCCCCCCCCTCCCCCCCCCCCGGCACACACGCACACAGGATGAGATGCAAGCAACAGCACTGGAATTGTCAATGGTCGACCCCAACATGCTCGTCTCGTCCTCGACATTGCCCGCCTCGCCCACAACAAGCATGACCCGTGTGTGTCTCCTCTCCTTTCCTCCTCCCCCCCCCCCCGGCACACACGCACACAGGACGAGATGCAAGCAACAGCACTGGAATCGTCAATGGTCGACCCCAACATGCTCTTCCTCGACGTCGCCCACCTCGCCCACCTCGCCCACCTCTTTTGAGGCGCCTCAAAAATCTCCCCTCCCTCTCTTCCTTCTTCTTCCCCCTCCCTCTCTTCCTTCTTCTTCCCCCTCCCTCTCTTCCTTCTTCTTCCCCCTCCCTCTCTTCCTTCTTCTTCCCCCTCCCTCTCTTCCTTCTTCTTCCCCCTCCCTCTCTTCCTTCTTCTTCCCCCTCCCTCTGTTCCTTCTTCTTCCCCCTCCCTCTCTTCCTTCTTCTTCCCCCTCCCTCTCTTCCTTCTTCTTCCCCCTCCCTCTCTTCCTTCTTCTTCCCCCTCCCTCTCTTCCTTCCTCTTCCCCCTCCCTCTCTTCCTTCTTCTTCCCCCTCCCTCTCTTCCTTCTTCTTCCCCCTCCCTCTCTTCCTTCTTCTTCCCCCTCCCTCTCTTCCTTCTTCTTCCCCCTCCCTCTCTTCCTTCTTCTTCCCCCTCCCCCTCTTCCTTCTTCTTCCCCCTCCCTCTCTTCCTTCTTCTTCCCCCTCCCTCTCTTCCTTCTTCTTCCCCCTCCCTCTCTTCCTTCTTCTTCCCCCTCCCTCTCTTCCTTCTTCTTCCCCCTCCCTCTCTTCCTTCTTCTTCCCCCTCCCTCTCTTCCTTCTTCTTCCCCCTCCCTCTCTTCCTTCTTCTTCCCCCTCCCTTACATGCGCACATGAACAGGATGAGATGCTAGCAACGGCACTGGAGTCCTCTATGGTCGCGCCCAACATGCTCGTCCTCGACATTGCCCATCTCACGCTACAGAAGCAGAACTTTTGTCTTCCTCTCCTCTCCTCTCCTCTCCTCTCCTCCCCTCCCCTCCCCCATCCCCTGCATGCGCACATGAACAGGATGAGATGCTAGCAACGGCACTGGAGTCCTCTATGGTCGCCCCCAACATGCTCGTCCTCGACATTGCCCGCCTCGCCCACCTCTTACTCTCGCCCCCCTCCCCTCCACCTGCCGCTCCCTCTGTCCCTCACTCTGCTCACCCTGCACATCACCCTTCGCACCACCTGCACCCCCCGCACTGCGCTCACTGCCATCACTGCGCCCAGCAAGCCAGCCACGCAGCAGGCGGCGCTGCTGCTTCTCCTGCTACCACTGCCACTCCCAGTGGTGCTGCTACCACAGTTCCCACCGTTTCTTCTGTTCCCACTGCTGCTAGCACTGTTCCCAGTGCTGCTAGCACTGTTCCCAGTGCTGCTAGCACTGTTCCCAGTGCTGCTAGCACTGTTCCCAGTGCTGCTAGCACTGTTCCCAGTGCTGCTAGCACTTTTCCCAGTGCTGCTAGCACTGTTCCCAGTGCTGCTAGCACTGTTCCCAGTGCTGGCGGCAGCATGGGCAGTGCAGCAGCAGGTGTAAAGACGAGTCCTCTTTCCTCTCCCACCTCTGCCGTTCCCCCCTTCCCGCCTGCCATGCTCGCTGCAGCACAAGCAGCTGGCATCTCCCAATTCGTTCCTCACTCCCCTGCAACCACCAATCCCGAGAACACCGCAGCAGCAGCAGCAGCCTCACCCTCAGCACCCTCACGCACTCCTTCAGCAACCCCAGCACCCTCAGCAGCCACAGCATCCCCCTCCCAGCCGCAACCTCTACCCCCTATCACGGCCGTGCTCCACGTGGACTCCTCCCGCCCAGTGGCCTTCGTGGCGATCGAGATCATCGAGGCGAGGCACTTAAAGCCCGCCAACCTGGACGGCACGTCGGATGCGTACGTCAAGTGCGCGCTGGGGGCGGCGCGCTTCACAACGCGCATCGTGTGGGGGTCTTTGGACCCGCGGTGGTTTGCCGAGTTCACAGCTCCCGTGTTCTCGTGGCATCTCAGCAACCTGCTCGTGCTCAGGGTGCTCGACAAGTCGTTCCTCTGCTCTAAGGACCTCGGGTGAGTGCGTGCTTTCCTGCACAAATGCGCCAAGGACCTTAGGACCTTGGCTGAGTGATGGCACCTGCCGAGGGTGCTTGCTTGTTCTCGTGGCGTCTCAGCAACCTGCTCGTACTCAGGGTGCTCGACAAGTCGTTCTTCTGCTCCAAGGACCTCGGGTGAGTGCTGGGCCCTGGGGTTCCTTCCGGGCCCTGAGGGGCAGGCAGGTTTGAGGCGCCTCAAAAGTCGTCTCGGGTGAGTGCTGGGCCCTGGGGTTCCTTCCGGGCCCTGAGGGGCAGGCAGGTTTGAGGCGCCTCAAAAGTCGCCTCGGGTGAGTGCTGGGCCCTGGGGTTCCTTCCGGGCCCTGAGGGGCAGGCAGGTTTGAGGCGCCTCAAAAGTCGTCTCGGGTGAGTGCTGGGCCCTGGGGTTCCAGGCCCTGAGGGGCAGGCAGGTGCCTTGCCTGGGCCCTAGGGTGCTGCTGGCTTGCAAATGCTTTGTCACAGAGCACTTATCTGGAGGTGCATACATACATAAGCACACAGTTGGCTTGCTGAGGGGATTTGTAGGCCAGCTATATTGGTGCGAATTTTGAGAATTCTCAAAAGTCGCACCTTTATCCAGAGGTGCATACATATGCACACAGTTGGCTGGCTTGCTGAGGGAAATTGGCACTCTCACTCTCCCCTCCCCTTCCCCCCTCTCCCACCAGCTATTGTGTGGTGGACGTGGGGAGGTATCGGTGGGGTTGAATTTTGAGTCAACTCAACTTAAGTCAACTCACTTTCCGTCCCCCCCTTTTTCAACCTCCCTTCCCCCAACCCCTTACACCCCCCCCCCCCCTCCTCCAAACCCCCTCCTCCAGCTACTGTGTGGTGGACGTGGGGAGATACCGGCAGGGGGGCAGGCGGGAGATGTGGGAGACGTTGAGAGGGGTGGGCCGTGGTCGAGTGCGGTTGGCGGTGACAGTGATAAGTACTGAGGAAGCAGAGAGGAGGGAGGAGGAGGAGGTGAGGGGCGTGAGAAGCAGGGAGAGTGAGGGGAGGGAGAGGAAGGAGAGAGGAGCGGAGGAGAGTGAGGGGCGGGAGGGGAAGGAGAGGCAACCGGGTGGGGAGGGTGGGTCAGGAAGAGGGTCCGATGCTGGTGGTGGGGAGAAGGCAGGGGAGGTGAGTGAAGGGAAGAAAGAGGGACATGGTAGGTCGAGGAAGGCGGGCAATGGGGAGCAGATGGGACTGCGAAGGAGGATGAGGGGGAGGAGGAGAACGGGAGGGGAGTCATTGGATTGGGAACAGGAGACTCGGAAGAAGCAGGAGGGGAGGGGGGAGGGGGAGAGGGGGTTGGGGGAGAGAGGAGAGGGGGAGAGGGGGGCGGGGGAGAGAGGAGAGGGGGAGAGGGGAGAGGGGAAGAGAGAGGAAGGGGAGAGGGGGGAGAGTAGGAAGGGCGACGAAGTAATGAACTCAGAAAACGATGGTGGTGTTGCTGATGGTGGTGGTGGGAATGATGGTGGTGCTGATGCTGCGACTGGTGGTGTGCGAGAGGGGAGGGGCAACAGAGGGGGGCGGCCAACACTGGACCGTGGCTTCCCTCTCAACCGCCCCAACCTGCTTCCGCCAATACGAGTCACACACCCTGCCGCCCAGTCCCACTCCCACAGCCACGTGGCAGAACATGACAGGCCGCTGGTCACCGAGATGAGATATGATCGTTTCCGCCCATCCAGCTCGTTTCTGACTGCCCCTGGGTCGTCCGAAGGGCAGCATGGGGCACATGGAGGCTTCTCTATGATGTCTCCTTACAGTGGCCCACATGGGGGTTCTCTTACCGCTGCTCCCTCCTTCAGCGCTCCAACTACTCCCACTGGCAGGGGCAGGGGCAGAGGCAGAGGGGATGCAGGAGAGGATTTAAAGGAGGGGGGAGGGGGAGGAGGAGGGCCGTACTCTCCTCTTGAAGGCTTGTCTGGTGATGGTGGTAATGCTGCTGCTGTTAGTGCCAGCAGAGTGTCCGTCGCCCAGAGAGGCAACCCTGTGAGTCGCATCAAAAGCAGCCATGCAGCAAGCTCAGCAGTCAAGCACACCACCACCACCTCCTCCTCCTCCTCTTACCACACCGGCCACACTTCCAACTCTGGCATCTACTTCGTGACTGAAAATGGAATAGTGGATGGCTCATTGGATGCTTCCGACACGTTCTTGACAGCAGGAGACTTGTGGGAGGGTAGCGAGGAGGGGGAGGTGGGGGAGGAGCCTCCAAGCCCGTGTTTATCGGAGCCGTCGCTGTCTGTGCTGCATGGGATGGCGTCAGGACAGGCGTTCGGGTGGTGGGGTGAAGAGGGCGCGGGAGGTGAGGAGGTTGGGGAGACGGCTGACAAGACACAGTGGGGAGGAGAGACTCTGTCCTGGCAACACCAACGTCAGCAGCAGCAGCAGCAGCAGCAGCAGCAGCAGCAGCAGCAGCAGCAGCAGCAGCAGCAGCAGCAGCAGCAGCAGCAGCAGCAGCAGCAGCAGCAGCAGCAGCAGCAGGCACGGCCGCGGCCGCGCTTGGAGCGAAAAGCAGCTCTTTCCTTCCGCACCCGCATGCAGCTGGAGCGGCAGCAGGAGCAGCGCGATTCCGAAGCAGCCGAAGCAGCAGCAGCAGTGGCACATGCTGAAGCAGCAGCCGCTACTGCCAGCGCAGCCCGCCAGCTGGACAGAGACGAGCTGGCACTGCTCTCAAGACTCCACGTGGACCAATCAGAAGAGGTCAACATTCAGGGGATCCCGGCAGGCTCGGGGATCTTGAAGGTCGTTCGGCCCGGAGCTGACCCCGGACCTGAGGCTTGGAAGTGCAGGCAGGGAGGGAGGAAGGCCGAGGCTGAGGCTCGGGAAAGGTTTGTGGAGGAGGAGCAGGAGGGGACGGTGCTGGGTGGACTGGTGAAGGCGTATCTGAGTGAAAGCTTGCACGGAGGGGGAGAGGGTGGTGGGGGTGGGTCACACGGGAGTAGAGCAGGTGGGGGGGATGGTGGGAAGGCAGGTTCAACTGGGGAAGAGCAGAAACGAGGGGGGTGGAGGGGGTTGTTTAAACGATGGAAGAAGGGGAGGCATGATAGCGTGGCAGGCACAGGTGAAGCAGCAGGGGCATCGGAGAGGGATAGCTTGGCTGGGGACCAAGTGGGTGAGGAGGGGAGGAAAGGAGCGCAAGAGGAAGATATTGGGAAGAAAAGGGAGGAGGAATTTGATAAGAAAAATCATGAAGAAGTGGAGGTGGAGGAAGAGGGCGAGGTGGAAGAAGAGAGGGATGCGCTGGATGAGGAGAGGGAGGCACTAGAGGCAATGGCGTTGGAGATGTTGGATGGGTGGCAGGATGACGTGGTGGGGGGCGATGCTATCAGCAGGAGCACCACCACCTCCTCTACCTTTCCCTCGCAGAGCCACCTGCGTCTCACCAGAGAGCTCATCAAAGCCTGCCACTAGAAAGCAGGTGTGGTGGGATGAGGAGAGGGAGGCACTAGAGGCAATGGCGTTGGAGATGTTGGATGGGTGGCAGGATGATGTGGCGGGAGGGGATGCTAGCACCACATCGACTACCTTCCCCACCTCGCAGAGCCACCTGCGCCTCACCAGAGAGCTCATCAAAGCCTGCCACTAGAAAGCGGGGGTGGTGGGAGGAGGAGAGAGAGGCATTAGGCTATGGCATTGGAGATGTTGGATGGGTGGCAGGATGATGTGGTGGGGGGCGATGCTATCAGCAGAAGCACCACCTCTGCTACAATCCGCTCACATTGCACGATGCGCCTCACCAGAGAGCTGATCAAAGCCTGCCACTAGAAAGTTGGGTTTCAAGGGTTTCTTGCAGCGCCTGGAAAGGGAACAGTCTTGAGGTGTTGGCACAGCGAGTCGTTCCAACTACCGTTTCGTACGTTGTGAGTTACTAACTACATGCAGATTTAGGTCTTGATTGACTGGCCCTCTTTTCTACTGTGGGTTGGTTGGTGGTGAACATGATGGTAGAAAACCATACAGTAACATTAATTGAATGTGGACGATGAAGTTGCAGCCAGCCATCATATTGAAGTTGCAACGCATTGCTATGTAAGCAACAAGCAACATAATGGCAAAACAAAAACAAGAAGAAGAACAAAGGTTGGATGTGCGAAGCTACCGTATTTCACCAACCTATTTCACCAGTCAATGTCTCTACGAGATTTAGACATATCTCATCTCAGTGAGCTGCGTGCGTGTAGTAGGCTTGAACAAAGGTTGGATGTGCAAAGCTACCGTATTTCACCAACCTAGCCGGTATTTCACCAGTCAATGTCTCTACGAGCACTCCCGGTGACTCCACACTTTCTATTGCACCGGTGCCACCTCAGCAAGCCAGCTGGCGAGTTCTGACGCTGCCTCGCGCGTGAAAGCGAGGCGGGAATCCCGAGGGAGGGCAGGGAGGGCAGAGGTAGCTAGGGCTGCATCAAGGGGAGCAGAGGAGGGGGCTGCTGTTGCTGCTTCATCAGCAGCAGCTGTGGCTGCTGCCGTGTGGGTGAGGAAGGAGCGAGAGAGCGAGTCGAGCATGCGAGCATACACCATGCTGCCATGAGAAGGAGGGGAACAGGGGGGGAGCAGGTGGGGGGAGGAACGGGGGGCCAGGGGGAGAAGGGCGGGAGAACGGGTTGGGAAAAGGAAGAAACAAGAAAAAAACATCCTGAATTTCAGGTTCCAGTTGGTGGCAGTTTTCGCCAGAGTTGTCACCACTGGGGTGCAGAGCTTCGTGCATGCCTCATGAAGTAAAGAAGCGCAACCGTTTTGCAGAGCATAGCATGCCTGCCTGGAAAACGCAGATGCACACACTTGCAGTTGCAGATGCACGTGACTGAAGAAGTGTCTGAGCTCACTGAGCTATGTCTGGATCTCGCACTTGTACATGCAGATGCAGGGTGAAGCACTCACCGCAGGCGAGCAGCGTCTTGTGGGAAGGTGCGCACAGACTGAGCCGTGCGCTGGGAAAACTCCGACAGTGCCTCTGACCCATCAGCCACTGACACCTGGCGGACGGTGGTTGGTTGGGAAGTCACACAAGAATCAGGGTGGTTAGTGTGCCTCCCCATCGCACACGATGAGAGCTTCTTTCAATGTCAGCGTAAACGTAAGCTGCATATTCACGACGACGTTGATGGCAATTTAATTAAGAAAGAAACATTATTGCGTTGCAGATGCACACACTTACACGTTGCTGAAGCTGGGCCAAACCAAGATACAGGGCGAAACCACCAATCCCAACCCACCCTCCCCCCACCCTCTCACACCCTCCCCCCCTCTCCCAGAAACACTGTTCCCTTATCCTACATCCACTCACCGTCAGCTCTTCGGTCGGCACAAGCGCCTGTCCTTCCAGGGCGGCAGACAGGTGCATGTAGTCCAAAAGCAGCTGCCCGCCCTCTTTCCACCCGTAAATGACCTCCCCATGCGTCTCCAGCCCCTCCATCAGCTGCTGCACCTCCGACCACCGCTCTGCAGGGGTGGGGGAGAAACGTGAGAGGAGAAATTAAGAGGGGAGAGGAAGCGTTGGAGTTAGCAAAGCAAACTCCAAAGGTGTCTCCAGCCCCTTCCATCAGCTGCTGCACCTCCGACTACCACTCTGCAAGGGGTATAAGTTGGAGGAGAAACGTGAGAGGAGAAGAGGAGAGGGGAGAGGAAGTGTTGGAGTTAGCAAAACGCAGCTTCCGCTGCTAAAGGTGTCTCCAGCCCTTCCAGCAGCTGCTGCACCTCCGACCACCACTCTGCAGGGGTAACAAGCATGATAATTATACAGCAGAAGGGGGGGGGAGGGTTTGGGGGGGGGGGGGTTGGGGGGGGGAGGGGGGAACATCTGCTAAGTATTAGGCTGGGGCGAGGTGGTTCACATGCAGAGGCGAGGAGGAGAGCCCTGTTTCACTAGTGGTCGCAGCGCCCTCATGCATGCTGACGGGGGCATCCAATGCAGCAGCATCTTATGCATCCCAAAGACGCACCAGACCAGACAGAGTGCAAGCAACAACCCATGTGTATGAAGAAGTGCTTTGAGGCGTCTCAAAACGCTTATGCATCCCAAAGACGCACACCAGACAGAGTGCAACAACCCATGAATCTCAAATATCGCACCTGACGGATGGAACCCTGTCAGCAAGCAACGGCTTTTGAGGCGCCTAAAAAAAACCGCGTGAACTGAGACGACCTTTGAGGCGCCTCAAAAGACGAATCTCAAATATCGCACCTGACGGATGGAACCCTGTCAGCAAGCAAGCAACGGCCCATGAAACACAAAGATGCCGCACCTGCTAGGATCCAAGTGGCAGCGAGGTGGGTCATAAAGAGGCGGTGGGCGCGGTCCCACTGGAAACTTCCCAGCAGGCACTGCAGCTCGTCGCTGCGCCGACCCTCGTAGCGGTGGTGCACCGCCTGGTGGGGCGGGAGGGAGGGGGAAGGCAGGGCGGAAGGTGGGGATAAGGGGAGAGGGGAGGTGAGGGGAGTGCTGCTTAACGACTCAGAAGGCAGTGCAGCTCGTCACTGCGCAGCCCCTCGTAGCGATGGTGCACCGCCTGGTGGGCGTGGAGGGGAGAGTAGCAGCGGGAGAGGTGGGGTAGGTGGGGAAGGTGAGGGGGGTGCTGCTTGCATTGCAGACCCAGCAGGCAGTGCAGCTCGTCGTTGCGCCGGCCCTCGTAGCGATGGTGCACCGCCTGGTGGGGCGGGAGGCAGGGAAAAGGTGGACAGGAGGAGGTCGATGGAGACGATAGGAGAGGATGGGAGAGCGAAGGTGAGGAAAGCAAAAGAGCACGGCACTGCAGCTCGTCGCTTTTGAGTAGACTCAAGAGTCAGGAAGGGGAAGGTGAAAGAAAAAGCGTTGCTTTCACAAATGAGCATCGGCGCTACGAGTGTTGCACTGCAGCTCGTAGCTGCGCCAACCTGGTAGCGATGGTCGTCTCTGCCTGTGATGTGAATGAAGGGCAGGCGAGAGAACCAGGAAGGAAACCGGGCAGCAGAGGTTCTCCTCACAAAGCCACTCACAGCAGCATACTTTTGGCATTAAATCCCACCTGAGCAGCACACATCCACGAGCGTGGCACCAGCAGCTGCCCCTCAATGAAGCTGCGCTGCTCCTCGCTCGCCGCCCACACCGGACACGACCCCGCTAGCACCTCCCTGAATGAGCGCTCCAGGGCCCACCGCGGAAGCTTCCGGGAGGGCGGGATGTGCTGCAGGCAGTAGAGCGCCCAGTGGGGCTGGTTGGCTGCTAGCAGCTGCGCCACGTAGTCCATGTGCACAGCTGGCAGCACCTCATTGGCCCGCACCGCTGCTATGGCCTGATGCGATTGGAGGGGGAGGAAATAGTTCGGAGGCAAGGGTTGAAGGTTTTATATTTGAAGTGTAAGATTTCGAAGGTAATGACTGAGAGAGGGGTGGATGAGGATAATCTAGTACTTGGTGATTCTGTGATATGAGGTGCAATGAACCAGGCTCAGCGCGTTAGTCCTTACGTGCAACACACTCTGAAGGTGCCACGTCAGATGGCAGTCCAGCGCATCACGAGTCCACGACCGCCACCTCAGCATCGCTGCCACATCAATCGCCACGTCATCACCACCACCAGTCTCCACCGTCCCTTTCCCCATCACCTCTTTCAAGTGCAGAGCCAACAACCCATACAGCACATCTTCCACTCCTCCCTCTCCCTGTCCCTCTCCTCCTCCCTCTCCCTCTCCCTTCCCCTGACCTCCACCCATCCCTCCCCCAATCCGCTCCCTCTCCGCCCTCTCTCCCCCTTCCACCCCAATCGTCTCCTCATACCACGGGATCGCCCTCGGCACCCTCCCAACCCTCACTCTCTTCCTAAACTCCGCAATCACCGAGCCTAGCAGCGAGGCTGGGGGCATGCCAAACCACATGAGCAGCCCGAGCTGTCTCTTCCAGTCCAGCGGCCGACCCTCCAACGCCCCAGTAACATCCCCAGCCACCAGCCGCAGCAGCCTAAGCCTCTCCACACTCACCAACGCCCCTTCCGCCAACTCCTGCAACGAAACCGCCCCTTCCCCCGAAGCCCCATCCCTATCTCCCTTCCCGCCCGCCAGCCTCTCCCAGAGCGCCAGCTGGTGGGCGGCATCAGCGCGCGTGGCAGGGGGGGCGGAGTGGGCAAGGGAGAGCAGGGCGGCAAGACGCACGTCCCCTGTGAAAGCAGCCGCACCCACTGCCGTCTCCACCTGCATCCCCGTGAGCGCTGTAAAGGCCACCCGCAGAGGCAGCGCAGCAGCAGTTTCAGCAGGAGTAGTGGTAGTAGTAGTGCTGGCGGTGGCTGTGTTGCGTGTGAAGGTGGTGGTGGTGAGAGGGTTGGGTGTGCTGGTAGAGTTAGCAGCGGAGGCAGCAAAGGAGTTGAGTTCGTGCACGATGGCGGGTGTCACCACGGCCTGCAGCCATGAGCTGAACTCTGCTCTGCGGAACAACGCCAT